GAAAGGAAGGAAGGAAGGAAGGAAGGAAGGAAGGAAGGAAGGAAGGAAGGAAGGAAGGAAGGAAGGAAGGAAGAAAGGAAGGAAGGAAGGAAGGAAGAAAGAAAGAAAGAAAAGAGAGGCAACATTGTTTCCAAACAAACAGGATATATTTTCAACAGGAAACAAGACAATTGTCTCTGCTTCTCCCTAGCCCCTTCTAATTCCTCAAGATCAGATAGCCTTCTCATGACCCAAAGGGGAAAGTATTTTTAGATGGAACTAGATTGGGAATTAACCACCAATCATATGTCCCAGGAGCTGAGGAATTAAAAAGTGACTTTCTAAACCTCATAACAATAAGGGTAGACTTGGGTATCTGGGCACAGTGCAGCCACAGCCTTTGACCAAGATACTTCTCTTCTGAATAAAGCTCTTTCTTTTGTTGTTGTTGGTCATGGGGCTTGAACTCTGGGCCTTGAGCACTGTCCCTGAGTTGTTCTGCTCAAGGCAGAGAGACAGTGCCTCTGCCAGTTTTCTGGTAGTTTATTAGAGATTAGAGTCTCATGGATTTTCCTGCCAGGGCTGGCTTTTGAACTCTGATTCTCAGCCTCCTGAGTAGCCAGGATTACAGGCGTGAGCCACGAGTGCCCAGCCTGAATAAAGCTCTTTGTATTCACTCAGAACCAGAAATGCCAACACTAGCTGGCACTGCCTGCTGCTGAGCTGCAACACCAGCAGGCACTGCCTGCTTCAGGGCTGTAGTCCCAGGGGCCTCGGCTGCCATGGAGCCACAAGGACTTAACACCAACGGGTTCTGGTGCACAGCAAACAGCAGAAAACATCTTCATCATTGTGTACCTGTCACCTCCTCCTTTGTTACTGATTTTTGATGGTACTCAAGATTGAACCATGGCCTTGTACTTGCTAGACAGATCTCCACTGAGCCACACCCCTGTCCCTTTTTGCTTTCATTTTTTTTAATACTACTCCACCCTAAGCCAAACAGGCCTAGAAAGCAATCATCCTAATGACAATTCCCTATGTAGCAAGAATGACAGGCACAAGTCAGCACATCCAGTTTTACTGGTAGAGGTGTGGTCCCATGTCTGGACTGTCCGGGCTGTCCTCAAACTGCCATTCTCCCAACGCCAGCCTCTGAGTAGCTAGGATTACAGGCATGAGTTACTGCATCTGGCTTTTACTTGTTTTCTAATGTAAGTATACTACACATAAAATACACTTACATTGTAATTCATTTAAAATACTTCTTGTCAGGCTGGGAAGGTGGCTCAGTGGTAGAGCGCTTGCCTTGCATGCCTGAGGCCCTGGGTTCAATTCCTCAGCACCACATAAGCAAAAAGTAAAAAAGCTGGAAGTGGCGCTGTGGCTCAAGTGGTAGAGCGCTAGCCTTGAGCTGAAGAGCTGAGGGACAGCGCCCAGGCCCAGAGTTCAGGCCCCATGACCAGACCCCCCCCCCAAAAAAAAACAACTTCTTGTCTTCTCTGTGACTTCTTCTTTGATATATGATTTATTTAAAAGTATGTTAGAGCTGGATCCTGGTTATTCATACCACTCTGGAGATTGTTATCTGAGGACTGTGGTGTGAAGGCAGCTGGGGTAGGCAAATCTGTGAGAATCTATCTCTAATTAACCAGCAAAAAGCTAGTACTAAAAGGCTTTGCTCTTGTGGTAGAGAGTCAGCTGTGAGCACAAACAAACAATATGAAGTGTGAAGCCCAGAGTATAAACTCTAACACTGCCCCACTTATCCAAAAAGGGTTTAATTTGCATTGTATTTGGAGTTTTTAATTTGTATTTTACTACTGATTTCTAGTTAATTTACAGTCAAGAACATGTTATGTATGATTCCAACCCTTTCCCACTTACCAAGAGAATTTTATAACTTACGATAACGTCTATCTTGCCAAATATTCACTGAATTATTTGGAAAATATCTTGGAAAGAGCGTGCATTCTATTATGCCAAGGGCAGTGTTTCATAAATGTGAATGGGCCAAACTGGGTCACACTGGTTGAAGTGTTGTTTGGGTCCTCCTCTACCCTTACTGACTTCTCTTATTTGTTCTATTAATTACTGACAGAGGAGTGCTAAAATCTCCAGCTCTACTGTCTTTTATCTTCCTCCTCCAGCCCTGGCAATTCTGGTGTCATGAACTTTGAAGCCTTATCACCATGTGCACAGGCAGTCATGATTATGACGGAGTGCCCTCCTTCTCCCGGGAAGCATTCCACTCATGGGGCTGTGGGTCTGATGTTAATATGGGCAGCCCATTGCCCTCTACAGATACGTCACTTTCCTTGTAATTGTGTTAGATTTTCTTAAATTTGTTTTGGTTTGGGGCTTAGTTGTTTTCTTTTTTTTTTTTTTTTTTTTTTGACAAACAAAACATTTGTTGCAACCCTGAACCAAGCAAGACTGCTGTTGTCACTTTTCCAACAGCATGTGTTCACTCCTGTCCCTGTGTTGCATTCTGGTAATTCTTAAACCATTACAGATGTTTCCACCAGCATTATGTCTGGTTGATTCAGTACATTTTGGTGACATGTGATCACTTACAACTGTGTGTGGATGAGGGAGCCACACCCAAATGAGAGGGTGAATCTAATCGTAATGCTGTGCACACGCTGATGCCTCACGGACATGTTCTCCCATCTCTCCCTCTTCTTGGCCACCCTGAGAACATAATACTGAAGCCAATTAACCCCACAGTGGTCTCTAAGTACACAAGTAAAAGGAAATGTAACACATCCTCACTTTAAATCAAAAGCTAGAAATTATCAAGCTTTGTTAGGAAGGCATATTGAAAACTGAGACAGGCCAAAATCCAGGATCTCTTAGACTAAGTAGTAAGCCATATTGTGAATGCAAAAGACAAGTTCTTAAAGGGAATTAAAAGTGCTACTCTGAGAATACATGAATACCAAGAAAGCCAAACAGCTAGAGCTGACATGGAGGTGGTTAGAGGGTTGCACACAGTATCAAGACAGCCACAGCGTTCTTTTAAGTTGGCAGAGGTTTGTTCTTTCAGTTTAAGGAAAGCAATGTCTCCACAGAAAAAAAATGCAAGATGAAGCTGCAGGTGCTAATGCAGAAGCTGTAGTGAATTACCCAGATCAGCGAATGTAACTGATGACAGTGGCCACACTGAACAACTGATTCTTAATGGAGACAAAGCAGCTACGACATTGTGGCTAGAGAGACATCAGTACTTGGCTGATCAGGACAGGCAACTCTCTAGTTAGGGACTAACGTGATTTATGATTAAGTAGAACTCTGTGTTCATTTGCCTTTCCAAAAACACTAGACCCTGGTAAGAACTGCACTGAACTACTACAAGAGAGCCGGGCTGACTGCCCCTCGTCAGAGGAGAGAGGCACAAGGGTAGGGGCTATCAAATGGCGACTCCTGGCGGTTTTAACCATTCACTGAAAGCACTGAAAGTGTGTGCAAAAAGAGACTTACAAAAGCTCTGGGCAGACCTAACAACTCTAATGGCACTTAATAGTACTTACTAGTATTTCACATGCTTACTAGTGCTTAATTCTAACTGCCCTGGAGCCTCTACTCTGTGGCACTATCTCAGTCAAGAGGATGATACCTTTGGGGAGCTAGGATGGGTACCCAGGATCTGTTCCTATTATTCTTGCAACTTTTGAGGATCTACAAATATTTCAAAATAAATGGCTTAAAAGAAAACACTGGGCACTGGTGTCTCATGCTTGTAATCCTACTTAGGAAGCTGAGATATGAGGAACACAATTCAAAGCCAACTTGGGCAGGAAAGTCCATCAGCCTCTTATCTCCAATAAACTTCTAAAAAGTTGGGGGCTGGGAAGGTGGCTCAGTGGTAGAGTGCTTGCCTTGCATGCCTGAGGCCCTGGGTTCGATTCCTCAGCACCACAGAAGCAAAAAGAAAAAAAAGCCGGAAGTGGTGCTGTGGCTTAAGTGGTAGAGCGCTAGCCTTGAGCTGAAGAGCTGAGGGACAGCACCCAGGCCCAGAGTTCAGGCGCTACGACTGGAACCCCCCCCCCCAAAAAAAAAAATAAATAAAAAGTTGGAAGTGGAGCTGGGTCTCAAGTGGTAGAGCACTAGCCTTCAGAGACTGTGTCCAGACCCTGAGTTCAAGCCTTAGGACTGGCACAAAAATCAGGCAAGCAAGCACTCAAGCAAGCATGCAAGCAAACAAGCAAAAAAGTGGATAGCATCTAATCTAAATGATTACTTTGTGACTATTCTTCTTTGTCTTACGAGCCTCACCAGGGCAAGGCCTTGCCTGAAAACCTAACTTCTCCCTTCTTCTTCGTCCAGAAAATTTCCACACCCCATTTTCTTCTCCTATACCAGCTCACTTTTGCCCTTTGCTCCTTCTGTCCACCTTCCTTCACCTTTTTTTTTGGTCGGTCGTGGGGCTTGAATTCTGGGCCTTGGCGCTGTCCCTCAGCTCTTCAGTTCAAGGCGAATGCTTTACCATTTGAGCCATAGTGCCATTTCCAGTTTTGAGTGGTTTATTGGAGGTAAGAGTCTTATGGACTTTCCTGCTCAGGCTGGCTTCAAACCGTGATTCTCAGATCTCAGCCTCCTGAGTAGCCAGGATGACAGGTGTGAGCCACCAACACTCAGCCCCTCACCTTCTTCTAAGCAGTAGAAAGAACCAGTAAATGGCCTTGCCAAATTGGCCACAATGGCAGGCTCTGGGCTCTGTAGCACAGGGCCCTGGGCTGGGTACTGGTGCTACCTCTAGCACGCTCTCCTGACAACTACCTGTCCTATCAGAACACCTAAAGTGTTTAAAAAGTAGCAGGTTGAAAGGAACTCTGATGCCACCATGCTTGGAAAGGCCCCAAAGTCCAGTTGACTTTATCTCGTTTGCTGGGATTTGCCGCAGTCACCTGCCCAAGGGTAGACACCATATGTCACTTCTCACAACAATCAATTTTACAATTACCAGTTGGAAAAACAACACCCAGTAAGTACTGTCACTTGTAACTGATCCATTTCAAAGAAAGTGCCACTGCGAGGGACTAAAGCAGCAGAAATGCAAATGCTAGCACTTCTTTTATGTTTTATGTTTTCACTTTCAGCTGCCTTTTACTTCCATGTAGGGGAACGAGAGGAGAAATGTATAATAGAAGATATTCCAAGTGACACATGGATAACAGGTAGGCAAAATGAACTCTGTATTTTATGACTATTAGGGCAATTTTCTTAAAGTCTATATTATCTGATAATGAGAATAATGCCATGTGACTTTCTTTTGATAGTTTATATCAAGCTATAAATACTTGACTGAAAATTACCTCAAGAGTGAATTGTGTAATTTATAATATAGAACGTCTGGGTCTTTACAGAATCCAAGCTTGATTTGTTTTCCTAATTATCAGGTTTCCTTAGGTAAAATAATATCTTAGGCTGGGAATGTGGCTTAGTGGAAGAGTGCTTGCCTAGCGTGCATGAAACCCTGGTTGGATTCCTCAGATCTACATAAACAGAAAAGGCCAGAAGTGGCACTGTGGATCAAATTGTAGAGTACTAGCCTTGAGCAAAAGAAGCTCAAGGACAGTGTCCAGGCCCTGAGTTCAAGCCCCAGGATTAAGAAAAAATAAAGAATATCTGGTGCCATTTAGCATGCTAATTGTGGCTGAACACTCAAATATCTATGAGGCCTTTAGACTAATCTAGTAAAAGGAGCTGAAGCACAAACCCACAGGAGGAGCCCACAGCATCTCAATCTTGCATTGAATATGCTGAATTCTCCTTCCAGATCACCTTGGCCACTACAGGTCAGTGTTGTACTTTCAAGAATAATAACCTCTCCTGCAAAAGTCAAATACAGGCAGCCAGGACTGAGGTGGAGAGCGCTGTGTGGTGGGCCTTGAGGTGAACAAGGGGCAGGGAGACATGAGGGGGTGAGTGGTGTGATCAGCCCCACCTCACCCCACGATGGCAAGTATGCTGGAGGCTGTGGAAGCTGAACAACCCCTAGGCACACACAGGGGTGTGTACCTATATATATATGTATGTACACCATAGCCTAGCACCAGCCAGCACCATGGGCAAGCCCCAGCCCCTCTGCCTCTCCCTGTAGAACGTGATGATGACACCATGGCACCCATTCCTTTGGTTTTTGAGGAGAGTTAACTTTTGTAAGGCTTTCAAACCAGGACAGCACATCACCAGAGTGACATACGTCACCAGAGTCTGCTCAGTGTAAACTCTGGCAGCAAGTACAACCTGCTAGGGGAAATCCCCAGTGCAGCTGGCCATTTTCCTGGTAACTCATACATTTTCCAATCTGCGTTTCAAGGAGAGGAGGAATAATAGTTCTGCTGGCCTTGCCTGCCACCCTGTGGCCACCAGCTGGATAGACCTGACCTGCCGCATATTTGTGGCAGCAAGCTAGAGTCACTGAGCCCCTAGAGACATGGGAGGTAGGAGGGAGGATCAGTGAGGCAGGACAGTGCTCTGACAGTTGTGAATATGAAGGTCTTATGTGTCTGACCCCCAGTGCCTACCCACACTGTGTCTGCCTCAAGTCTCTTCTCGTCCTTGCTCCCTTGGACACGCAGGGGCCTTCTTCCTCACCTTCTGCCTTTCTCTTCCCTGCTCCCTCATGCCCTTACCATCGTTGTCTCTAAGTCTCCCCTCTCTTCCCTCTACTCTGCAGTCTCCTTAGCAACCATTCATGCCACTATGTGATTTTAGAGCTCAGTTTTCTTAAAATAATTCTAACTATAGCAAAATCTGGAAACATTTCATAAGGTTTAAAAAAAAAAACTTGCCAGGCGATAGTGGATCAGGCCTGTAATCCTAGCTACTCAGGAGGCTGAGATCTGAGGATCATCACAGTTCAAAGCCAGCTTGGGCAGGAAAGGCTGTTAGATGTGTATCTTCAATAAACCACTAGAAAATCGGAAGTGGTCCTGTGGCTCAAGTGGTATAGTGCTTGCCTTGAGCTGAAGAGCTGAGGGACAGCGTCCAGGCCCAGCGTTCAAGCCCCACAACCAACAACAACAACAACAACAACAAAAAGGTTGTTCGGTACTGGTGGCTCACACCTGTAATCCTAGCTACTCAGGAGGCTGAGCTATAAGTATCATGATTCAAAGTAAGCCCAGACAGGGAAGTCTATGAGACTCTCAGAAAACCGGAAGTGGTGCTGTGGCTCAAGTGATAGAATGCTAGCCTTGAGCACAAAGAGACTTAGGGACAGTGCCCAGACCCTGCGTTCAAGTCCCAGGACCAGCAAAACCAAGTAAGTAAAAAGACACTGGTTGACTAAAACCCCAAAAATAAAACAAGATATCAGAAAGAGGTATACAGAAAGGGACTTAAAATAACATTATTAAAGAAAATAAAGAGACAAGTGCACAAAGTGGATGAAAATATACAGAATTTTAACAACTGGAATCTCTTTGAAAAGCTAAGTGGACAAGCAAGAATGGGAAAATGCAATCATTTGAAATTGAGAACTCACTGCAAGGATTCAACAAAAATTTGGAAAAGGAGATTAGTGAAGATTAGATTAGCAAATCAGATCTCAGCAGAAAAAGGAAAGAAAGACCAGAAAAGAGATACACAGCAGACAGGTTAACTATAACCCCATATGGGAAGATGAGAGAATGGAGCAAGAAGCAATATCCAGAGATTTGGAAATGTATGAAAGACATCAACCCAGAGATTCAACGAGCTCAGAGTACCCAAAGAGAATAAATGCAGGAAAAACCACACTTAGGCAGACTGTAGTCACACGGCCGAGAGGCAACCATGAAGAGCCTCAAAGACCGACCCATAACATTTATTTGATGTGCCGAATACTCTAACAATTTACTCCAAAATACAATTTAGATGTTTCTTTCAACACATTCCATTACATATTTACTTTTTTTGTTAATATTTCTAAGGTAGAACCTGACTCAGTTCTGCTGGCTGCTTGATTATCAGGGGGCAGCTGTGGCCAGGTTCTCTGGAGCCAGGCACATCTACACTGCTGGTGTTGACTGGTGTTGACAAATGACTCTATGTTCTCCAGTGAACATCTGCAAAACCTCCAGGTGCCTGGGATGCCCTGACTTTATGCCACACACAATCTTAAATGCAAGTGTCAAACACTCCAGGGTAAGAAGTGTTCACCACAAGCATGCTTACTTTTGAAATCATTAAACTTTAAAATGCTCTGCAATTTGTGGGAACCTGAGACGACTGCTCCAGGGCTCCACCTAGCCCAGCAAGAGCACTCGCCAGCTGTGTCCTATCTCTCCTCCAGCTCTTAGGACCAATAAACACACGTAGAAAGTTCAAGCCTGATGACTCGGAGTCAGTTGCCAATATAGAGGTTGTAAGGAATCTGAGGAATTTAGCCCTGACTAAAGGACAGGTTTTGAAGATACTGGGCATGGTTTGAAACCACATTTATTGTCTGATAGGCAGAGGCCTGTCTGAGAATGGAGCCCCACACCAGCTGGTTTGCATCTGATGCCACAGGTGCTCCAGCAAGGTCAGCTCCCACAGTCTTGGACTTTGTTTCTGACTTGTCAACCTGGCTTCTGGGAATTTGTCCTGAGCTTGCTCCAAAAATGAGTGTGGCTTTGTCTCTGGCCCCCACCCCCCCACTCCCACTCTATGAAGGGACATTCTTGAGATGAAGAGGCCTGAGCTTCCTACAGGACTTGTCACCCATGCACTGCTAGGCAAGGCCACTCCAGTCAGATGTAGGGTAAGAATCTCCTGCTTTATGAATTTGCCCAGAAACTCCTATATCAGATATCTTCTGCATATTGATCCTGTTTCTCTTAGTTATACTGACCAGTGCTCCTTAAAAATCAATTCCAAATCATCTTAAAAAGCAGAATAAATCAGTTTTGATGTGAGTCGGGGGGTGGGGGGGGAGGGAGATAAACTCTGGCAATGGTAACTACCTGTTGTTAGTTACTCTTGCCTGGCCAGTTTAAAACCACTTACTTGCTAGTCTTTAGGAAGTTTTTTTTCTTTTTTCTAACCATTATCTATCAGCTAGATATGGAAGAAGTACCAGGGAACATGGTGTTCACATAAGAAGACAGTTCATTAAAGAGAAAAGGTTAAGTGTTGACCACAGGCACATTTATTTCCAGTTTTGAAAACAAACTTTAAAATGCTCTGCAATTTGTGGGAACCTGTGACTGTTGTTCCAGGGCTCTACAAATAAAGAGACCTGGTGGAACTCCACTCTCTGTCAAAGCATGTGCTATTTGTCTAAGTACCCCTCTTACTAGAAACCAGGAGAGGGATGAGAAGATACCCCTCTTCAGTATCGTCAGCTTGTTGGGAGCTCCTGGAAGCAGATCCTGAGCCAAAGGATTCAAGTATCAGTGATATGCCAAAGAAATGCTCCCAGAAGGAAGTGGAAGAAGCTGTAAGTATGCTTTCAGGTTAGACTAGACCTGTCTGAGCCCCAGAGATGCTCAGGAACACAAGATGACTATGGATGCATGACCTAGCAATTTAACTTATAGGTCTACACTCCAGAAAGTGAAAGTAGAGCTTCAAATAGACCCTTGGATGCCAAGGTTCATTTACTAGCTACAAGGGCCACATGGTTAGAACTATCTAAAGGCCCAGCAACAGATAAAAGGGAATTCAATTTGCTGCTTCTTGGTGATGACAAAATAATAAGTAACTAAGGATAAATGTAATGACCCAACAGCACACCATGTCTACACTGAAATGACAAGCCAGAAATGGAGGGCCATATTACATTCATAGGATAGAAAAAATGGGAAAAAATGAATACATTCTTCACAGAAGATATCAGAATGATGAAGAAGTGAATAAGACGGTGCTCAAGTGCACTATTCACCAGAAAAAAAAACACATACCAAATGCCCTTGTGGGAAAAACAAAAATGTGACAGAAAACAAAGTATACAAGCCAATATGAGTGCTTACATACTCACAGTGATGAGCAAGAGCCACTATTTAGATATTCACCAAAGTTGAACCCAGATACAACTTGTGACCAAGTAGTCACAGAGAATACCCAACAGAAATGCAAAATTTGTCTCCAAAAGATATATACAAGAATCTTTACAGTAGCAGCACTTATAATAGCCCCAAACTGCCCATCCATAAGACAAATGTAAAAGCAAAAACTTACCTTATTCTAAAAATGGACAAATACATTGGACACATTGGTACATACCTATAAGTCCAGTTACTCAACAGAGGTAGGAGAAATAAAATCCGAGGCTGGTCTGAAAAAAGCATAAGAATTTATGTTAAAAACAAAGAGTCTGTAGGCATAGCTCTTGTTCAAAAAGTGAGAGCTTGAGTTCAAACCCCAGCACTACCAAAAACACCCGCAAAAGTATGGACTATTAGTGACAGCAATGATAATGCAATGGCCTATACCTGCATATGACAACACAAACACAAACACTGCACAATAAGCACAAACACAAATGTTGATTAAAAGAAGCTAGATTCAAGAGTATACGTAGTCATGTAAAGTAAAACCTCAGAAAAAAATATCTTTGAAAACTGGAGTAGTAGTCTTTGTGGATGTACATGTGTGTATGTGTGTGTGTGTGGGGGGGGGGGGGTAACTGGCAGCACAGACGGCTTCCAGGAGGCTGACGGGGTCTGACCAGGATTTCAGTCTGTGGTAACACATTGTATATGCTGAAGACTGAAGCATACTCCCTCTACTTAGATCTTCCCATTAGCCAGGAATGGTCCACACGGGATCTCCATGTTCATCGCCTCTTGAGAGCAGTGGTTTCATCAGACACAGAATGACCACCTAGTGTCTGCCACATGTACTCAGAACTAGCCAGTGATTTTGGATCTTCCTCCAGCTCTACGAATAGATCTCAATTGGGTAATAGGAGAATATTTAAGACATAGGAAAATTATCCCCCAAAATGCTAGATGGAAAAATCAAAGTCCAGAGAGAATGTACATTGATACCATTTTATAAAATATATATTATAGGTGTACACTGAAAGGGTAATACTGAATGCTAAAATCTTCTAGAGGAGATTTTCTTCCTAACACTCTTACAGTGAATATGATTTCTTTTTTTAATATCAAGCTAATGACCCACAGTTTCATCTCAAGTATTTTCAGTCTGGAATTACTGGGGCAGCCACATCCAGTTCACTGACGTCTCTCAGGAGGGCAAGCTCACGTCCCACAGACCTGCATGCATGGGCGCCCAGTGTTCACTGAGCTGAACACCAAGAGAAAGGGATCTGGAAAGTGAGTTCTGCCATGCCAAGAGACTCCAAGTTCTGGGATTTTCTGAGGAGTGGGAGGACTGGTTCAGCACTGGCATCCGTACCAGTCAGGTCTGAGTGAGGAACAGGCTATGACAGACTTAATCTCAATTTGGGAATCAACCCTGCTGAGGTATAACCTCAGTTCTGCCACTTATCTCAAAAATTTTAAGTTACTCACTATAAACCTGAGCATTGTTACACCTGATTCACAGGTGTAGTACTGAATGCAAGAGCTGACAGAGGTACATTGCACCTTAAAGACTCAATAACAATGCAAGAAATCATCAAGTGAGCACACAGAACTCACAATGTGCTAAGTTCTGAATCAAGCAGCACACAAATCTAACTATTTACTCTTCTTACTGGAAGAAATGCCATATTTGTGTTTTATCAATGGGGAACCAAAGACACAGCATCTTGCCTAAGTTGAGATACTTGTTAAGACCTGGCCAGTGAGTCCTACTGCCTCTTGCCATGCTGTGGGAAGAGAACAAGGACCTGTCCTGTGCTAAGGTGATAGGCTTCTTCTGACAGTGAGAAATGCTTCTCTTCTGCCATCCACTGGCAGTCTGAGGCATGTCATCTTCCTCTGTCCCTCCTGTTCATGAGGGGTGGAGTAGGCTGGCAAGTACTTAGGACCAGAGGATCCCAGAAAATGAGAATGACAATCACTGGTATCCATTTTGATAACTCAAGGCCATATGCTAGGGACACTGGTGTTTTTAATGGGGAGACCAACTGGCATTAATTCCTTCAAAATCCTTTATTGAACATATGCTATAGGACACACATTCATTCCTGTTGATTATGCTGTTTGGCATTCTACATCCTTGATTTTCCATCTATTTACGTTCTATGAAATACTGAAGTGCCAACAATGTGGATTTGCCACTTTTGTCCCACAGGTTTTGAAGCGATATGGTTTAGTACTTTGAGGATGGGCTGTATCTTCTTTACCATTATGTCTCTTGTCCCTGGTAATTGTCTTGCTCTAATGTCTACTTTATCTGGTATTTATTCAGTCAGCCAAGCTTCAGCAAAGTGGTATCAGAATAGCATATATTTTTAATTTCTCTACCTTTAATCTCTCTGTAGTGCAATAATAGTACAGTATACAGTATTACTGAAACGGATTTTCTTGTAGGCTGCACTATATTGTGTCACTAAAAAATCCATTTTAGCTGGGTGCTGGTGGCTTATGACCATGACCCTAGGTACTCAGGAGGCTGAGATCTGAGGACTGCAGTTCAAAGCCAGCCCGGCTGGAAAGCCCTTGATGTTCTCATCTCCAACTAATCATCAAAAAGCTAAAAGTGGAGCTGTGGCTCAAGTGGTAGAGTGCTGGCTTTGAGGGACCCCCGCCCCCGGCCACACACACCTCAGGAACAGCACCCAGCTTCTGAGTTCAAGCCCCAGGCCTAAAAAAATCCATTCTAAAGGGGCACCAGGGGTTCGTACCTGTAATTACAGTTACTCATGAGGCTGAGATCTGGGAGATCACAATTTGAAGCCAACCAAGGCAGAAAAGTCTATACTGTTTCCTTAACCAGAAAAAAAAAAAAACAGGGCTGGAAGTGTGATTCAAGTGGTGAGCTTGAAGCACTACATTCAAACCCTAGTACTGAAAAAAAAAACACTGGCAAGTTTTGTCTAATATCTGTTGGGGATATTACATATAACTACTGATAGTAGGAGCTAGGTCTACAATTTTATTGTTCTCTTTTTGTCTCCTGCTTTCCGTTCCTTGTATACCCTGAATATTTTGTAATATTCCAGTTTGCTTTATGTGTAGTGTTTTTCACTATATTCTTTTTTGGGGGAAGGAGGGGGTCTGGTCATGGGGCCTGAACTCTGGGCCTGGGCACTGTCCCTCAGCTCTTCAGCTCAAGGCTAGGGCTCTACCACTTGAGCCACAGCGCCACTTCCGGCTTTTTTTCTTTTTGCTTATGTGGTGCTGAGGAATCGAACCCAGGGCCTCATGCATGGAAGGCAAGCGCTCTACCACTGAGCCACCTTCCCAGCCCTCACTATCTTCTTTCTACAGCACTCACAAATAGCTTCACATATTACCAATCCTTATTACTAGCATCAGTATTTTTCTATTTATTTTTAATTAATTTACTTTATTGTCATTATGGAGGTGATGTACAGAGGGATTACAATGGCGTGAGTCAGGTAATGAGTATGTTTCCTTGTTTCCTCATTCTCTCCCAGTCCCGCCCTCCCATCTCCACCTACAAGTTGTACAGTTCACTTTCATCAATGTTCATCGAGAACTTTTAATTTTATACTTACATATTACAAATGCATTAACATTTTATGCAGTACATTCAACGCTAGTTATATGCCATTCATCCCCAATAAGCAATTTACCCATATATGAATCTTTGAGACATCAATCCTATGTATGTATCACTTTTATCATTTCACATGTGACACTAAAGCAAAGTAAGCAAGTAGTAGACTCAGGATTCAACCCCAGGTCATGCAGTGCCTTCTTCCTTAGCTTCATGAAACTGTCCAACAGTTACATTTTAGTATTAGAAACACATATATCTTATCTTCCACTCCCTCCATTCCTTCAGCTCTGGGCTCCAATGTCAGAGAACCCTTTCCCGAACTTCCCTGCATATTTCAAAGCCTACATCATGTCTATGCCTGCCACCTGCCTTTCCTTACAGCACTAATATCCTGTCACAGCCTTGCCTGTTTTGCTTCTGGCTGTATGAAAGCTCCACGGGACATGGACTTGTTAACTGTGTCGCTTATGGCCTCAGCTCCCAGATCAGTATGCATTTTGAGAAGTGAATGCGATATGTTACGTGCTCAGCAAAGTAGCTTGAGTATAAAAAATGCTAGCCATTTTTTAATTCCCATTGTACCTTCCAAGGACATAAAGGGGAAGTTAAACCACATGATAGCTATCACACATTGGGAAGAGAAAAATCTGAGGTGCTATCAGTAATTCAAACTTTAGTAGGAGCCTCTGAATTCAGACAGTGAAATGAAGGAGTCAACATAGCCTACACGTGCCTCAGGAAGAGATTCTGTTGAGCATCTGGGGTCTGTTACAGACGGAAACATGAACAGTAGGGCCACTGTGGGCCTGGGGGGTGGGGAAGAACAGGCCCAGGAATCATGTCTCCCAGTGCTGACCTGGTGTTTACATTCTGTGTAGACACATGTAGATTTATTTCCAGGAGTCCTCATCACCCAAAGATTTAAGCAGGATATATACTGCTTCCATTTCTCTAAATACCAAACTGAATGAAGTGGCTGACCAAGTCAATCAGTCCATGAGGACAGACCTCAAATGTCTCTCCACTTCCAATACCCAACTCTGCCAGATAAACCTGCCACAGAAGCCATTCAAATTAGCAGTATGATGCAGACAATTGATAAACTCATTTTACTTAGCTGTTCTTGCTTAATATTACTCTTATAATAATGCCTTATATTTTTGAAATAGGAACATTCAAGGTTCAGCAATGGGACATAGGCAGACAGAATTTCCTTGACTCTGCTCCTGGTTTGGGGATGTTTGTGACTATTACAACTTACAACGATGAGGTAAAATATTCTTTTATGGTTGTTACTACAATTTTTCATTTGTAAGAATATGCATGTTGTGCCCCTCACATTTTAAAACTCTACAAGACAATATTTATAAATGCCAATTAAGCTGGGCACTAGTGGCTCATGCCTGTAATCCTAGCTACTCAGGAAGCTGAGCTCTGAGGACCACAGTTCAAAGCCAGCCTGGGCAGGAAAGTCTGAGACTCTTATCTCCAATAAACCACTAGAAAGCCAGAAGTGGCACTGTAGCTCAAGCAGTAGAGCTCTCATCTTGAGCTGAAGAGCTGAGGGATAGTGCCCAACCCCCACGACCGACCAAAAAAAAAAAAAAAAAAGCCAATTAATTTTTACATAGTTCTGAATAAAGATGTGTCACAGAAACTCAGAAAGGGCCTATAATCTAAAAGCTAATAGACTAGATAGCTTCTTCACATAAAAAATTTAACAGTGGGGGCTGGGAAGGTGGCTCAGTGGTAGAGCGCTTGCCTTGCATGCTTGAGGCCCTGGGTTCGATTCCTTAGCACCACATAAGCAGAAAGAGCCAGAAGTGGTGCTGTGGCTCAAGTGGTAGAGTGCTAGCCTTGAGCTGAAGAGCTGAGGGACAGCGCCCAGGCCCAGAGTACAGGCCCCATGACTGACAAAAAGAAAAAAAAAAAGGAAAGAAAGAAAAAAATTTAACAGTGGCTGGGCACCGGTGGCTCACACCTGTAACCCTAGCTACTCAGGAGGCAGAGATCTAAGGATCACAGTTCAACGCCAGCCTGGGCAGGAAAGTCTGTGAGGCTCTTATCTCCAATAAACCACCAGAAAACCAGAAGTGCTGTGGCTCAAGTGGTGGAATGCTCGCCTTGAGCTGAAGAACTGAGGGACAGCGCCCAAGCCCAGAGTTCAAGCCCCACAACTGACAAAAAATAAATAAATAAACAAATAAATAAATAAAGTTTAACAGCAATCCAACGGTGATCCTATACTAGTGATCCTGAGGCGTATTGATCTTTCAGCAGAAGAGGCAGATGTGCCGAAGTGCAAGAGTCAGGAAAGCCACCTCCTTCCTGTCTCCAATCTGGAGAGGCTTTCTCCAGCAGTGCAGTAAGTAGTCTCTGGGACTGTCATACAGACCAGAGACCTCCTGCTCACTAGGGAGTTTAAGAATAGCCTGGGAAACACAGCAAGATCTCCACTCTCAAAAAAATTCCCCAAAACAATGTCTTCTCTACAAGAGAGGAGGGATATATTCCCTCATTCTATAAACATTCAACAAATACATATTGTTGGCCTGATAAACGTCCAACCCCCTTCTTGCCCCATAGGCTGTATTTTTAGAAATGTTATTGCCACTGGAAGATGTTTACCAAGAAACAGCTCTAGTTTACATTTCTTAGAATCCTAGATCCCTTACCTCCTTATTTTTGTGCCAGTCCTGGGGATTGAACTCAAGGCCTGGGTGCTGCCGGAGCTTTTTTTTTTTTAATATAATTTTATTGTTATTATTAAGGTATTGTACAGAGGGGTTACCATTTCATAGGTTAGGTAGTAAATACACTTCTTTATTGGGCAATGTCACCCCTTCCTTTGCTTTCCCGTTTTCCTCGTCCATCCCTGCCCACAAGTTACACAGGTCATTTCCCACACTGTATACTGAATACCATGATTGTATTTGTTTACCCTTCCTCCCTCCCTTTTGGCATCCCTTCTTTGCTCCCCCAGAAAGGAAAAAAAAAAAAAAAAAAAGCAAAACGGACTCACCACCACCACCTCAGTAATGTTTCCATTTTCTGGAATTCTTTTCAATAAGTAGTAATTTAAATGCTCAGAGAAGTTACATCTTTGGATTCCTTGTCTAAGGGTTTCTTCTGTGCACGTGCATGCGTGTGTGTGTACCCACAGTACTGTATAGGTTAACACCTCTAGTTATATTTTAGATCTAGCTTCCACATATGAGAAAATATGCACTACTCATCTCTCAGCTTGGCTTACCTCACTTAGTATGATTTGTTCTAGATCCATTCTTTTCCCTACAAATGACATAGTATTATTCTAATGGATGAGTAAAATTCCATTGTGCATATGTACATTTTTATTGTTGACACTAGGGCATCTGGGCTTTATCTATAACTTGGCTATTGTGAATAGTGTAGCAATGAACATGGATGTATGTGCAAGTGTCTTGTATCCTGACTTACAATGTTCCAGGTAGATGCCCAAGAGTGGTAAGGCTAGGTCATAGGGGAGTTCTATGTTTAGTTTTTTGAGGAACCTCCCAACGCCCTTTCAGAGTGGTTTTACTAGTTTACATTCCCACCAACACTGTATCTGTTCAAATTCTTGAGATTGGTCAATCTAGCTGGAGTGAAACGGAATCTCAAAGTTGTTTTGGTTTGCATTTCCATTATGGCCAGGGATGTTGAGCATTTCCTCAATCTGTCTGTTTGCCATTCTTACTTTGAAGTGTCAGTCCTCCAACTTGGTCTTTCTTCCTCAATAGTGTGCTGGGTATTGGGGAACTCTTACATCTGCATATGAACATTAGAATCAGACTATCAATTCACAAAATAATTTGCTAGGATTTTATTGGTACTGTGTTGAATTTATCGCTCAAGTTGGAAGAACTGACATTTTGACGATGTTTAGTCTTCTCATCCATCAACATAGACTCCTCTCCATTTAACTCTTGGATTTCACTCATTATAGTACCACTAAATTGTTCACATTGATCTTGCATGTTTTTCTAGATTTATAAATATTTCATTAAAAGGGTGCTAATGTAAACAGTATTGTGTTTTTACACACTCTTATTTGTTCATTATCCATCAAAGAAATGTGATTCACTTTCATTTATTAATCTTAAATCCTTCAGCCTTGCTATAATTGCTTATTAGTTCTCAGTTGTACAATTACTTTGAATTTTATACATAAATCATATCATCAATGAATAAAGACAGTTTTATTTCTTCTTTCCCAATCTGTCCTTCAATTACTCTTCTCATTGTATAGATGGAACTTTCAGCACAATGTAAAAACACTGGTGCCAAGAAGTGGTATCAAGCCTTCTTCTTGATCTTAGGGGAAAGGCTTTAGGTTCTTATCTTTAAGTATGTTGCTATGTTGGCTGTAAGTTTTGTAGATATTATGCATTAAATCAATTAAGTCCCTGTCTATTCTTACTTTAATGGGGGACTTTAAAATTCACAAGTAGACATTATATATATATATATATATATATATATATATATATATATATATATATATATATTTTAATCTGAGATGGACTCAAACGTAGTACCTGATGCTTTCACTCACTGGCTAGCACTCTAACTGAGCTATGCTTCCAACTGCTAGACATTGCATTTATGCAAAAGCTTTTACTGTATCAGGATAACATGACTTTTCTTCTTTAATATATTGATATGATGAACTTTATTGTACTTTTACAGTACTGGTGTTTGCACTTGGCCTCACAATTGCTAGGCTGACACTTTCACTTGAGCTACGCTCTCAGTCCCTCTGTTGCTTTAGTTACTCTTCAGATAGGTTCTCCTGCTTTTGCTCAGGACCAAACTCGGATGGAAATCTAATCTTGCCTGTCTCATAATGCCCAGCTCTGGTTCTGAGATAAGATCTCATCAGCATTTTGCTCAGACTGGCCTCCAATTATGATACCTCTATGCCCTCAAGTAGCTGGGATTACAAGCTTGAGTCACCACACCTAGTGTGATGAAGTGTTGTTTGAATGTTTTAAGCATCATTCATTACACATCATTATCTTTTTTCACTTCTTTTGAATTTGTGATGTATGTTTATAACTATTGACAGATTTCTTGTAGCTTCATCTTGTTTGGTGTTAAGTAATACTGGCCTCATAAAATGAGTAAGACTGGGCACTGTAGTGCATACACACACACTCCCAGTACTCAGGTGTCTGAGACAGGAGGATTACTTGATCCCAGAAACTCAAAATCAGCCTGGGAAATATGAGACCCTATAATAACAACAAGGAATTAGGAAACATTCTTTCCACTTCTAACTTTGAGATTTACAAAATTAGTATATTCCTTCCTTAGATGTTTTGTAGAATTCAGCAGTGAAGTTGCCAAGACCTGATACTCTCTGGTTTGGAATGATATTCATTCTTGATTCAATTTCTTTTAGTGTACATAGGGCTATTTGGAGTTTTAGAAGATTGTGTCTTTCAAAACATTGGTCCATTTAGTTGGCAAAGTTATCCAAGACATTTCTTTATTATCCTTTTAATGTCCCTGGGATCTAGAGATGTCCCCACTTTCATTTCTGACATTTATATCCTCTTTGTTCTTAGTCATTTGAATTTATTGATCTTCCCAAGCAATCAGCTTTTAGTTTCACTGATTTTTCATTATTTCCCATTTTCTTATGTCTATCATTTTTTATCTTAGAATTTTAGTTTCTCTCCTACATTACCCACTTTTTCCTTAAATGCTGTCTTTTTTTCCATCATAGTTTTTAACATATGTCAGTTTTTAAAAATTCCTGACCTGCTGGGTACTGGTGGCACACGCTTGTAATCTTAGCTACTCAGGAGGCTGAGATCTGAGGATCGTGGTTCAAAGCCAGCCCAGGCAGGAAAGTCTGTAAAACTCTTAAGTCCAACAAACTACTAGAAAACCAGAAGTGGCGCTATGGCTCAAGTGGTAAAGCGCTTGCCTTGAGCTGAAGAGCTCAGGGACAGAGCCCAGGACCAGAGTTCAAGCTCCACAACTGACAAAAATAAAAAATAAATTAAAATTTAAAAAAAAACTCCAGACCTGATCATTTCAACATCCTTGCCATATCTGTATCTGTTTCTGACACTTGCTCTATCTCTTCAAAGTCTTTTTGTCTTTTAATGGGAACTGATTTGTTGGTTGAAATCCAGACATAATGTGCCTAATACAAGGAACTCAGTACTGTCTCACAGAGATAGTTGTTTTAAATTTATTATTAATTGAATTTAACAATGGGTTTTGTTGAAATATTTTTGCACATATAAAACGTACTTTGCTCATATTGTTTCTCCCCCTCAATCATTCAATCCTGTTCTCCTTCCCTTTCTTACTCTTTCTGTTCCCAAATAATACTCCTCTACTTTCATGGCTCAAAAAACCTAGATTCCACATATAAAAGAAAACAAACAATATTTGTCAGAATTTATTTAGTTTAACATGATCTCCAATTTTGTATTTTCCTTCAAGTGACATGTTTGTTCTTTATGCCTGAGTAAAACTCCACTGTATATATATACATTTTCATTTATCCATTTATCTTTTATGGGCACCCAGGCTGATTATATAATTGTGAACGATGCTGCAATAAATATGAGTATGCTGCCATCCCCAATGTATGCTGACTTTGGTTCCTTTGAGTACATGCTCAGGATTGGCGCAACTGGATGTGGTGGTAGGCTTTTGAGGACCTCACTGCTGATTTCTGTACTGATGCACTTACTTAGGTCCCTGCCAACAGTGTCTGTGGCCCTCCCCTTCCAGCCTCACCAGTATTTGTTTTCTTTATAGATATTCTGAATAGGGTAAAATAGAATCTTAATGTAGTTCTGATTAAGGATTTTGAACATTTTTTGTGTATTTATTGGTCATTCGTACTTTTTCTGAGATACTGGCATTTGAACTTCGGGCCTTGAGCTTGCTAGGAGGCACTCTACACTTGAACTACACTACAGCCCTTTCTGCTTTAAGCTATTTTGGGGATAGAATATTGTTTTTGCCCAGGTTAGCCCAGACCACAATCTTCCTATTTATATCTCCTGCCCAGTGGGGATGATAGTCACACGCCACCTTACCTAGCTATTGGCTGAGACAGGCTGCCTCACTCAGTTTTTTGTTTGCACTGGCCTTACACTGAGATCTCACCCAACCTCTACTCAGAGTAGCTTAGTTTACAGGCACAAGCCCTGTACCCAGCCCCATTTGCACTTCTCTTGAGAACGGCCTGTTCATTTGTCCACTTAGTCTGGATTACTCATGTTCTCTTTCCTCTTTCACTTTTTTTTTTCTTTCTAATACCAGGGTTTGACCACACAGCCAGACTAATGCCTGGCTGGCTTGCTTACACAGTTGGCCTTCTACTATTTTAGCTATGCCTCCACCCTGGCATTTTGATGGTTATTTTTGCTTGGGCTGGCTTCCAGCCTTGATCCTCCATATCTGTGCCTTCAGAGTAGCTAGAATTACAGGGGTGAACCACCAGTGCCTGGCTCAATTATTTGTTCTTTAGGTATTGATTTTTTAATTTCTTTATGTATTCTGGATATTAATCCTCCATCAGATAAATATCTGGCGAAGAGTTTCTTTTCTGCAGGCTGTCTTTTCACTCTGATAATTGCTTCTCTTGCTGTGCAGAAGCTATTAAATTTAATGCAATCCTATTTGTCAATTCTTGCTGTTATTCGTGAGCTACTTGGAGTCCTATTCAGAAAGTCATTGCCTTTGTTTATATACTGAAGCGTTTCCTCTGTTTTCCTCTAGAAGTTTCTAAGTACCAGGTCTTAAATTAAGGTCTTAATCCATCTTGAATTGATTTTTGCACAGGATGAGATAGGGATCTAGTTTCAGCCTTTCACTTGTGGTTGTCCAGTTTTCACAGCTCCATTTATTGAAAAGACTATATTTTCTCCAACTATGTTTTTTGCACTTTTGGGTCCTCTAGTCTATTCCATTGGTCTTTTTATCTGTTTTACCCCATTATCGTTACACTAAAATTTTTGCTTGTGTATTTCTGCCCTGGTAGATTGTAATTCTTCACACCTATCTATCTGTCTAACTTGGGAGAGGCATTTGAGATTCTAACTATCTAACAGATCTAAGAATTGTTATTCAGTTTGTTCCACTTTTACTTGTTAAGATGGAATGACAACTTCTAAGCTCTATTATAAAAGAGCATGGAAATCTTTTGTATAGATGTAGGTTAGTATTTTCTTTTAATGCTGCTTCAGTTGGCTTTCCTAAAATGGAATCTCCTATTGAAAAGCACTATTATTTAAAAATACAGTATTTCTGTTAATAACATCAAAATGAAAACCCCTTAACACGTAACTATCTACTTCAGCATTTTTATAGAGTAAGTTTCTTGTACGGGGACAGTTATACACATTTTTGTAGAATTATAGTGATTTTAAAAATTTGTAGCTTATTTGGAGCAGGTCTCACTATGCAACTGAGGCTGCCTTAAACTCAAGATTCTCCTGTTTCTATCTCCCAAGTGCCAGGGTAAGAGGTGTGTATACTAATATCCAGTATCTTTAATACATACTATACGACTGCTTTCTAAAAAAATTGATCAATTTACATTCCCACCAACAACATTTGGAAAGTATTTATTTCTCCATACTAACCAAGAACTTTAAAATCCTTACCAATAAGACAATGTCTTTGGATTTTTGTTACTTGCAAGGCTGATTTTTTTATGTTTATTAACTAAATGATTTCTGGGATTGCATACTTTTCAATAGATTAATATGAAGAGATCAGAGTTGCAGGACTGGGATTTGAACTAAGGACTTCATATACAGACCAACCACTCACACCATATCTCTAGCCGTTTTTGCTGTAGTGATTCTTAAAAATTGTTATTATAAAGGTGATATACAGAGGGGTTACCATGAAATGATAATGAGACACTTCTTTTTAGACAACGTCAACCCTTCCTTAGCTCTCTCTTAGGTATAGTAATTTTTTTTGGGGGGGGGTCTGGTCGTGGGGCCTGAACTCTGGGTCTGGGCGCTGTCCCTCAGCTCTTCAGCTCAAGGCTAGCACTCTACCACTTGAGCAACAGCGCCACTTCCAGCTTTTTTCTTTTTGCTTATGTGGTGCTGAGGAATTGAACCCAGGGCCTCATGCATGCAAGGCAAGCGCTGAGCCACCTTCCCAGCCCCAGGTCTAGTAATTTTTAAGATAAGGGTCTCACTTTCTGTGCAGGCTGGTTTGGACTGAAACCTTCCCACATAGCTTGGATAACAGGTACATACCATTATGTCTACTTTTTTTTGGATGAGATGGGGTTTTATAAACTTTTTGCCTGGGCTGGCCATAATCCTTCTGATCTTAGCCTCCCTAACCAGAATTGTAGGTAGGAGTCACTAGTGCCCACCTAAGTTTTTCCATAAGAATGGAAAGTAAAGGGCTGGGAATGTGGCTTAATGGTACAGTGCTTGCCTAGCACGCCTGAAGCTCTGAGTTCAATTTCTCAGTAGCACATAAACAGAAAAAGCCAGAAGTGGCTCAAGTGGTAGAGTAGTAGACTTGAGCACAGAGAGGCTCAGGGACAGTGCACAGACCCTGAGTTCAAGCCCCAGGATTGGCCAAAAAAAAATGGAAAGTAGAGAATGATAAAACTTAAACTATCAAAATTTTCAACCCTAGGTATTATTATCAAAGTTATTTGGTGCACAAGGGACATTCTACTTTACTTCACATTCACCTGGTGAACACATCATTTGCTTAGAATCTAATTCTACACAGCTTGTATCCTTTGGAGGGAGTAAGCTGGTGAGTATGTCTCCCATGCCCTTGTTGAAGAACACAGCATCACTATTCAAGCCTGACATTGGTATGCAGAACCATTACACTGAGACTGGCTAGAAACTTACTGAAGTCCTGTGCCCAAATCTCAGTGCAACAACCACAGAGGGAGCTGGAAGGTGTTCAAAGGAGCGCCACAGAGTTGATTAGAGAGTCTGAAAAAACAAGAATTGTGAGGGGAGGCTAACAGGACTGTGATTATTCAGGCTTGAAAACAATTGAAGGCTGAAGAGTGAATTAATAATGGAATTCTAATAAAACTCTTACATACTGTATGGTGCTTGGCTATTTTCTAGTATTGAGAACAGATGAAGAGAATTTGTACTTTGGAATACAATATTCGGCTATATGTAAATAAAATTTTCCTGAAGGTATTATCAGCACCAATGGCATTTACCTTAACAGTAAATTTGATATTCAGGAATGCAAAAATACACTTCCAGGTCAGTGGGTTCCACTTAATGCATTATTACAAGAAAGACCAGAAAGGCTATTGAGTAGAATACAGAATAGAGTATCAGTCAGGATAAAAGAGGAAAGCAAAAATTAAGTACTACCTCACTCACAAAAAGGAGCACTACAGAGAAAGGAAGGGGAGGAGGGAGGGAAGGATACAAAGAGGAAGCGTGGCAAAAGATGAATTGTTTTTAAAATCTGCAGTTTCTTCTGTTTGTACAGCGTATCCACTTAGATATTCGAGTTGGAGAACATGACCTTGATGCAGCAATTGCTCAGGCAAAGGACAAAGTTAATAAAGTTACTTTCAAGCTTGAACATCTAATTGAACAAATTGAGCAAATACTCAAAGAACAAAACTATCAAAGGGTCAGTCTGCCTGCTCAACTTACTTTATCTCTTCTTGCCAAATCCCCTGAACCGAGGAAAGAATGAACTGCCTGTTCCTAGTCTCTAATCTGGAACTGTGTGGATATGCAGGGAATGGGGAGAGCAATCTTTCTTCTATTTGGCCATGAGTTCCTCTAGGAAAGGGGGCTGTGGCTCATTTGCCTTTTTTTTCTCCCATACTTACTTAGCAAATACACAGCAGCAGAGGGTGAGAGCTTTTAGAATGATTATAATTTAAGTGTTGTCACACATATTCCATTTATTTGTAGAGATTCAAGTATGCTCATATTCTAGAACACATTTTTTTTGGTCGGCCGTGGGGCTTGAACTCTGGGCCTGGGCGCTGTCCCTCAGCTCTTCAGCTCAAGGCAAGCGCTCTACCACTTGAGCTACAGCGCCACTTCCAGTTTTCTGGTGGTTTATTGGAGATAGGAGTCTCACAGTCTCTCCTGCCCGGGCTGGCTTTGAACCGCGATCCTCAGATCTCAGCCTCCTGAGTAGCTAAGATTACAGGCGTGAGCCACCAGCGCCCAGCTCTAGAACACATTTTTGTTCTTGTGGTATCAAGTGTTTTCTGAGTCACTGTCCTCAGCAGTTGGTAGTCAGACATGGGCTCAAATCACATACTAAGCCTCAGTTTCTTTATCTGAGAAATAAGGACAGCAGATAATTAGGTAAAGCCAGTTGGTGCTTTACACAGCCCTTTGCATGAAGTAAGGACTCAAAGATACAAGTCCATCAGTCAAGGAACGTTCATTTTGCCTGATAGACAGCAGGAAAAAATATATATAAATAGAAGTCTTTGACATTTTAAATCAAACTATAGTTTTACAAGTTGGTTTTTACTGTTTTATACTTGGTTAAACAACCACGACTCAGTTAGATACTACTACACTTTGGTAGATACAAACTGGATAATTTTTAAATACCTTGAACATATACAGCAAATACATTAACTGTTTTAAGAAACTAAATCCATCTATTTCTCTTCTGTATAGGCTCGTGAGGAAAGTTTTCGAATGACCAGTGAAGATACAAATAATAATGTTTTATGGTGGGCTTTTACACAAATATTAATCTTTATCGCAGTTGGAATTTTTCAAATGAAACACCTTAAAAACTTCTTCATAGCTAAGAAGCTTGTTTAAAATGTTTCTGATAAAAGCAAATAATCTGCATAAATTATTCTTGTGAATGAAGTATTTTGAATTACTGTGCTTTTTTTTTTTTTTTTTTTTCCAGTTGTGGGGCTTGAACTCTGGGCCTGGGTGCTGCTACTGAGCTTTTCAGCTCAAAGCTAGTACTCTATCACTTGAGCCACAGCGCCACTTGCGGCTTTTTCGGCTTATGTGGTACTGAGGAATCAAACCCAGGGCTTCACACATGCAAGGCAAGCACTCTACCACTGAGCCACCTTCCCAGAACCTTATTGTGATTTGAATAAATCAAAATACCTGCATAAATATATATTACTTTCTATGATTTCAATAATATCAGAGGTTGAAATTCATGCTGTAGAATTACAATACTGAGAAAATGTTACACTATGTAGCTTCTGATTTTTTAAAAATAGCACATCATCTTATTTTAAATCAGCACTAATAGAAATAAAATATGAATTATATATGTAATTATTTTCAATTCAACAAATCAGTTTATAAGTACAACGCATCCTGATCATTCTCCCCTATCTTTCCCAACCCCACCCATACCCTCAAGTTATGGGGTTGCATTTTCACTTATGTACATTGAATAATAATGACTAAACTCATCCTCCCTTTCCTCTCTCTCCTCCCTCTAAAGCTCCTCCCAACAAAACTTGTGTCAGCTTCCTGGTATTTACTTTATTAAACTGTTCATTAGTTGTTCAGGAGTTACGCCATTGAAATCCTCTCCTGAGTATACCATACTTGAGTCAATTTGTTAGAATACAGCTGCATATGATCCTGTATACGTTTTCATATTGTTTAGATCTAGCTTCCACTTATGAGTGAAAACAGGCCACTTATCTACATATTGTACACATGTCATTTTAAGTCTTTTTAGTCACCAGATATTTAAAAAATATACAAATGGATAAAATGGACCCTAATTACTTGTATTTAACTCAACACATAAAAAACACTATATGGTTGAGGTAAGGTGCCATGGCTTTGACCTATGATCACAGCTCCAGGAGGCAGAGACTTGAAGGGTAACGGCCAGATGGAGCAAAAAGTTTTTGAAACCCTATGTCAATCACTATCTGGGTATAATGGTGAGAAGTATGAAGAGGAGGATAGCAGTCAAGGCCAGCCTGAACAAAAATGTAAAACCCTAGCCTGAAAATTACTAAAGCAGAAAAGGGCTGAGGTACTTGCCTAGCAAGCACTGTATAGTGTATCCACTTAGATAATCAAGTTGGAAAACATGACTTTGAAGCAGCAACTGTTCAAGCAAAGGACAAAGTAAATAAAGTTACCTTCAAACTTGAGTATCTTATTGAACAAATACTTAAATTGCGCAAATACTCAAAGAACAAAACTATCAAAAGGTCAGCCCACTTATTGAACTTTTTTTTTTTGTTTTGGGGGGGTGGGGGTCTGGTCGTGTGGCCTGAACTCTGGGCCTGGGCGCTGTCCCTCAGCTCTTCAGCTCAAGGTTAGCGCTCTACCATTTGAGCCACAGCGCCACTTCCGGCTTTTTTCTTTTTGCTTATGTGGTGCTGAGGAATCGAACCCAGGGCCTCAGGCATGCAAGGCAAGCGCTCTACCACTGGGCCACCTTCCCAGCCCCTTAAACTTCTTTTATCTCTTCCATTTACCATCAAAAAGGCCCTGAGTACCATTAAAAAACTAACAACAACAACAAAAACCCAACTAGGTGGGAACTGGTGGCTCATACATGTAATCCTAGCTACTCAGGAGGCTGAGAAATGAGGATACCGGTTCAAAGCCAGCCAGGGAAGGAAAAGTCCATGAGACTCTTATCTCCAATTAACCACTAGAAAAATGGAAGTGGCGCTGTAGCTCAAGTGGTAGAGCTCTAGCCTTGAGCTGAAGAGCTGAGGGACAATACCCAGGCCCCCCACGACTGGAAACCCCCCCCCCAAAAAAAAAACCCAACTGTCAAATTGAGTATGCTGGCTTGCACCTATAATGCCAACTCTTTGGGAATCAAGATCAACTTAGCAATATAAGGAGATATTTTTCTGAAAACCAAAAATGAAAACTATCTTTTGTGTGTGTGTGCCTGTCCTAGGGCTTGAACTCGGGATCTGAGTTTTGCCCTTGGACTTTTCTAAAATTAACTAATAAATTACTTTATTGCTGATACATTGGTTTGAACTCAAGGTCTGGCTTATTTACTCAGCTGGTGGTACACTGAGCTTTGCCTCCAGCAAAGATTTTAGATGGTTATTTTTGGAGATAGAATGAGACTGTTCTTCTTGAGCTGGCTTCGAACTATGATCCTTAGGATCGAAACCTCCTGAGTAGCTATGATGAATGGAGCTAGCCACTGATACCTGGCTAAATCCTCATTTTAAAATGCACTTGATATAGTTACTGATATATTTCACAGTAAGTCTTAAACTCAAGCTAAGTCAAGCTTGAGTTTACACACAGCACATCAAATTGGAAATCAGACACTTTTTGGTGCCAGTGCTGGGGCTTGAACTTAGGGCCTGGGTTCTGAACCTGAGCTCTCTTCAAGGCTGGTGCTCTACAACATGAGCCACAGCTCCACTTCGGGCTTTTTGGTGGTTAATTAATGATAGGAATCTTACAGACTTTCTTGATTGGGCTGGCTCTAAGCCACAATCCTCAGATGTCAGCCTCCTGAGTAGCTAGGATGACCAGTATGAGCCACCGCAGCATCAGACACGCGATGGCATGACTCACAGTACTGCACAGAGCAAGAACTCCTACTGCATTCTACTGGAAGTCATTCTGAATTCTCAAGGGGGAGGAGGGGAGAGGAGGATTCCCGGAAAGATAGTAACTCTTCACATAAGTAAACAGCTCAAAAATGATCTGAACTAAGTTTTCTGACATGGCCTGCACCAGTCCTCGTAGACTGTATAAAGCCACGGAGAGGATCCAACATCTTATGGAATTCATTCATGGGTGGAAGAAGCTGGAGGAACCGAGATTCAAGACCTGCCTGGGCAAAAAGTTCCCAAGACCTCCCCCCCCCCCCCCCCCCCCCGCCCAAGGACAGGTGTGGTGACACGCACCTAGCGTCCAGACGTACAGAAAGCATAACCAGGAGACCCACCGTCCGGGCCTGCTAGTCCCCGAAGGTGAGGCCTTATCTGAGAAGTAGTGGAGTGGAAAGGCCGGGTGTGGCTCCCGCAGGACGGCCTCCTAACAGAGCCGGGGTCACCCCAGAGACAAAACCCAGGTGGGCCGGCCCCGCTCAGCCCTCCCGGTGCCCTGGCCCCGGCCCGGCCTACCCTCCGTCCCGCTCAGCTTCCCGGTGCCCCGGCCCGGCCTACCCTCCACCCTGCTCAGCCCAACGCCCCACTCAGCCCTCCCGGTACCCCGCCCCGTCGTCCGGCCTCCCTCACGCAGCGCCCCCCCCCCCCGCCCGCCCGCCTCACGCAGCGCCCCCCCCCCCCGCCCGCCTCACGCAGCGCCCCCCCCCAGCCCGTCGTCCAGCCTCCCTCACGCAGCGCCCCCCCCCCCCAGCCCGTCGTCCAGCCTCCCTCACGCAGCGCCCCCCCCCAGCCCGTCGTCCAGCCTCCCTCACGCAGCGCCCCCCCCCCCCCCCGCCCGGCCCGTCGCCCGGCCTCCCTCACGCAGCCCCCCCCCCCCCCCGCCCGGCCCGTCGTCCGGCCTCCCTCACGCAGCGCCCCCCCCCCCCGCCCGGCCCGTCGTCCGGCCTCCCTCACGCAGCGCCCCCCCCCCGCCCGGCCCGTCGTCCGGCCTCCCTCACGCAGCGCCCCCCCCCCCGCCCGCCCCGTCGTCCGGCCTCCCTCACGCAGCGCCCCCCCCCCCCCCCGCCCGGCCCGTCGTCCGGCCTCCCTCACGCAGCGCCCCCCCCCGCCCGCCTCACGCAGCGCCCCCCCCCGCCCGCCTCACGCAGCGCCCCCCCCCCCGCCCGGCCCGTCGTCCGGCCTCCCTCACGCAGCCCCCCCCCCCCCGCCCGGGCCCGTCGTCCGGCCTCCCTCACGCAGCGCCCCCCCCCCGCCCGCCTCACGCAGCGCCCCCCCCCCCCGCCCGCCCCGTCGTCCGGCCTCCCTCACGCAGCGCCCCCCCCCCGCCCGCCCCGTCGTCCGGCCTCCCTCACGCAGCGCCCCCCCCCCCCGCCCGGCCCGTCGTCCGGCCTCCCTCACGCAGCGCCCCCCCCCGCCCGGCCCGTCGTCCGGCCTCCCTCACGCAGCCCCCCCCCCCCCGCCCGGCCCGTCGTCCGGCCTCCCTCACGCAGCGCCCCCCCCCCCGCCCGGCCCGTCGTCCGGCCTCCCTCACGCAGCCCCCCCCCCCCCCCGCCCGGCCCGTCGTCCGGCCTCCCTCACGCAGCGCCCCCCCTCCCCCCCCCGCCCGGCCCGTCGTCCGGCCTCCCTCACGCAGCGCCCCCCCCCCGCCCGCCTCACGCAGCGCCCCCCCCCGCCCGGCCCGTCGTCCGGCCTCCCTCACGCAGCGCCCCCCCCCCCGCCCGCCTCACGCAGCGCCCCCCCCCCCCGCCCGCCCCGTCGTCCGGCCTCCCTCACGCAGCGCCCCCCCCCCCCCCGCCCGGCCCGTCGTCCGGCCTCCCTCACGCAGCGCCCCCCCCCCCCGCCCGCCCCGTCGTCCGGCCTCCCTCACGCAGCGCCCCCCCCCCGCCCGCCCGGCCCGTCGTCCGGCCTCCCTCACGCAGCGCCCCCCCCCCGCCCGCCTCACGCAGCGCCCCCCCCCCGCCCGGCCCGTCGTCCGGCCCTCCCTCACACAGCGCCCCCCCCCCCCGCCCGGCCCGTCGTCCGGCCTCCCTCACACAGCGCCCCCCCCCCCCGCCCGGCCCGTCGTCCGGCCTCCCTCACGCAGCGCCTCCCCCCGCCCGTCGTCCGGCCTCCCTCACGCACCCCCCCTCCCCGCCCCGGCCCCCGCCCCGGCCCGACCCCGGGCCTCCCTCACCCCGCAGTAGGCCCGGACCGCGACGCCGGCTGTCCGTCCCTCCCGGGGGCCCAAAGCCTGAGCCCAACCACGGGCAGCCCGCTCCGCCCTCCCGGCGCCAGGACAGGCGGCCTGGCCCACACCGTGCCTCACCGTTCTACGGGACCGAGACCCTCGAGGGCCCGGGCTCCGCGGCCGACCTGGAGCCTTGGAGCCGGGCGGCGTGGCGCGCCTCACGCCTCGGGGATTGGCGGGAAGGCGGCGCGACGCTGCGCAGCGCGCGGAGTGTGCGCAGGCGCAGAGCAGGCGCTGAGCAGGCGCAGGCGCAGAACCGCCGCTGCCCCCCGCCGTGCGTCCGTCCCTGCGCCTTCGGCCTCGCGTGGTCCTCGGCGCCGGGCCGCGTCCACGTGCCGGGCATGGCCAGCTGCGTGTTCTGTAACCACTGCTTCCAGCCGCCGCGCGGGAAGTCGTCCTTCAGCCTCACCAACTGCGGGCACGTGTTCTGCGACGCCTGCCTCGGCCAAGGTCAGGGCGGCCGGGCGAGCCGCCGCGCGGGGGGGGGGGGGGGCCGCGGGGGGGGAGGGCCGCGGGGGGGGAGGGCCGCGGGGGGGCGGCGGGGGGGGGAGGGCCGCAGGGGGCCGCGGGGGGGTGGCGGGGGGGGGGGAGGGCCGCGGGGGGGGGAGGGCCGCGGGGGGGAGGGCCGCGGGGGGGTGGCGGGGGGGGGGTGGCGGGGGGGGAGGGCCGCAGGGGGGGTGGCGGGGGGGGAGGGCCGCGGGGGGGGGTGGCGGGGGGGGGAGGGCCGCGGGGGAGGAGGGCCGCGGGGGGGGGGTGGTGGCGGGGGGGGGAGGGCCGCGGGGGAGGAGGGCCGCGGGGGGGGGGGGTGGCGGGGGGGGGAGGGCCGCGGGGGGGAGGGCCGCGGGGGGGCGGCGGGGGGGGAGGGCCGCGGGGGGGGCGGCGGGGGGGAGGGCCGCAGGGGGCCGCGGGGGGGGTGGCGGGGAGGGCCGCGGGGGGGAGGGCCGCGGAGGGGGGGAGGGCCGCGGGGGGGAGGAGGGCGGCGGGGGGGGGGGGAGGGCCGCGGGGGGTGGCGGGGGGGGGGGGTGGCGGGGGGGGGGGCCCCGTGTGGGAGGCCGGGCCCTGGTGGGGGACATGCGTGGGTCGGTGCTGGTCCAGAGGGCAGGCCCCGTGTGGGAGGCCGGCCTTGGTGGGCTGTGGGTGGGGCGGTGCTGGTCCAGAGGGCAGGCCCCGTGTGGGAGGCCGGCCCTGGTGGGGAAACGCCGGAGGCCGCGCGTGGGAGTCGCATGGAGTTGGGCCGCATGGAGTGCCCGCCGGGGCGTGGGGTCCGGGTGTGGCCTGGCGAGTGAGGTGAGGGTCGCAGGCCGGCATTGGGGAGGCTGGTGACAGCACGGGGCCGCGGCCGCGGGCAGGAAGCCGGTTGCTGCGGTCCCCGGATCAGATGGCATGAAGTCAGTGGCCGTGAGGTGAATCTTCACGGGGTCCCTGCCGAGGCCCCTACCTCCCCTGGGAAGGCACGTCGGAGAATCGCAGTTCAAAGCCAGCCTGGGCAAAACGTCCGTGAGACATTTATCTGTAAACACACACACACACACACACACACACACACACACACACACACACACACACACACGGAGCTGTTGCTCACGTGATAGCACTCTTAACTTTGAGCAAAAGAAGCTCAGGGACACAGCACCCAGACCCTGAGTTCTGCCCCTGGACCGGCACACACAGAAAAAGGATGAATGGATGAAAAGTAGTTGAGTGAGTGAGAGGTCAGGGGACGCTGTACAGTGGAAGATTGAGGAAGCAAATGGGGACAGACCCATGCCCTGGAGAGAAGTGGTGTTTGGAGAGGATAGAGCAACTCATCAGACTTGAGGAAGACAGAGGACTGGACACTGGCGAGGGGACCTAGAGAGATTGGAATGGGCAGCTCTGGTGGGGGGGAGGTGGCAGGTACATCTGGAGAACCAGGGATATATTTTGGGAGCCAACCACACATAGGTAATAGTTGAAGTTCCTGGAATGTGGAGAGTACCAAAAGGGAGACAATTTGGGAATTCCTGAGTGTAATTCGAAGAAAGTGAAGATAAGGGAAAGAAGGTGAGTGAAATAAAATGTAGGTGTCAACAAAACCGTACTTTGCAATGAGGTCAAAGAATTAGTGTTTGATGTGTCACTGGTTAAGCCAAAGATCACTGATGACCTTAGATAATGAGAGAATGGTGGGAAGAGTTTCGTAAGCTCCATAACCTCTCAGACTTTCTCCTTAGATGCAATTTTGAAAAAAAAAAATGGTATAGCATACATACCATTTAGAAATCTACTTTTATTGCTTACTAGAACACAGGCCTCTTGCCCTCTTAAGATAAATCTGTATCATCATTTTATGTAAAATATACTTTAGTTACTATGCCTTAAGCTACTTGATTCCCTACTAAAAGACATTTGTATTTTATGACATTTGGCTGTTACATACCTACTTTTCAGTTGATTTTTTCCCTTTGAAATTTCCTAGGGGGAAATGTGGAGGTGTGGCGTGCATGTTCAAAGTGGACCGGTGTGCCTTGCAGAGGGTGTGCCCGTCTAGGTTCTCTGTGCACATGGGTTTTCCCTACTTTTGCATCCCTCATGAATGGCTTGGATTTTCTTTCATACATTTGTGGCTCTTTACATTTTTGATCATTACTCATATGGGTACTTTCACAGACGTTTATCAGAAGAATATTGTTTAGTCAACTTGTCAGCATAGTTTATGTATTCAATACCAATCACTAAAGCCGGTTGCTGGTGGTTTTTGCCTATAACTCTGGCTAGGCACAGGCTCTGCAGGAGGCAGAAATAAGAGGATCAGGGTTCAAAGCCATTTCTGGCAAACAGAGACTTTTATCTCCAGTCACCCGGAAGGTGGCTCAGTGATAGAGCACTTGCCTTGCATGCATGAGGCCCTGGGTTCGATTCCTCAGCACCACATAAGCAAAAAGAAAAAAGCTGGAAGTGGCGCTATGGCTCAAGTGGTAGAGCGCTAGCCTTGAGCTGAAGAGCTGAGGGACAGCGCCCAGACCCAGAGTTTAGGACCCACGACTGGACCCAAAAAAAAAAAAAAAAAAGCTGAAATTGGAGGTGTGGCTGAGCTGTTGAACACCATCTGTGAGCAGAAAAGTGTAATGAGAGCTACTAGTTGAAGCATTAGTACTGGTGTGCACATGTGCATGTGTGTGTACGCATACCGAAATACAAATCAAGCATTTTGTCAGTGAGTTGTAAATGACTTCCCCTCCGTTTTCTCATCCTTCCTCCCCTAATAGAACACTTAGGTTTTTATGAGTCAGTTCTGCAACCTGACAGTACAAACAGGTATTTTCCTTCCCCATGAATACATAGTGAAAGTGAGAGGAGTGAGAACACACTGAGGAAGATGGGTGGAGAGGGGATGGTGACAGTTTTATAAGAAGAGAGAATCGAGGCCATTCTGGAGCTGTTAGAAGAGGGCCACTCCTAACACAGGGGCTGCTACTTTATAAGATGCTGTGGACTCAGGGGAGCATGACCACACAACTTGGGCGGGAGGAAACCTCCAAGGCAGAGGGGGAGGCAGAGGCCCTGAGTTGTTTCTTGGTAGGTAGGTAAGTGCGAGGAGAGGGCAGGGAAATGGAGGTAGGTCAGGACTGGGGCTTCTTTTTTCTCCAGTAGATGATAGGATATTTCTTTGCGAGCCAGAGGCGCTGGAATCCACAGATCTGTGACTCATCTCTCCAGGGACTTTTGCTAGTATAGATTTATCATTAAGAATTGTTTATCTTCGCCGGGCGCTGGTGGCTCACGCCTGTAATCCTAGCTACTCAGGAGGCTGAGATCTGAGGATCGCGGTTCAAAGCCAGCCCGGGCAGGAGAGACCGTGAGACTCCTCTCTCCAATAAACCACCAGAAAACCGGAAGTGGCGCTGTAGCTCAAGTGTTGGAGCGCTCACCTTGAGCTGAAGAGCTGAGGGACAGCGCCCAGGCCCAGAGTTCAAGCCCCACAACCGACAAAAAAAAAGAATTGTTTATCTTCATGGCCAGTGTTTGGAGACACATTTGCAAAACAAAGGGGTGCCATATAATTGTCCAAATGCACCAATATGCACAGCCTAGTCCTCTGTCTTTTGAAATGGGTGCATGCTGCAGACCGGGTTCTGTCGGGACGATGGAGGACACCCAAGGGAGGAACCTGGAATAGGGTGGGGAGATGGCAAACAGACAACTCACACACAAGAGTGGATGCTGAGTGCTGAGTGCGATTTAATGCAGAGGATAACAAACTTTTATAGCAAAAAGTCTCCATAAGAAAGGGCAAAAGGTTACATAATCTTGCTGCAGGGCTTCATTCTTGGGCGGTCACCAGCTGGTCTCCTGAAAGGGCAAAAGGTTACACAACCTTGCTGCAGGGCTTCTTTCTTGGGTGGTCACCAGCTGGTTGCCTGATAGGCACTTGTTTCCGGCTTATCTCTAAGAAATATAATGGGTTTCGATGTTTTGCCATCAACTAACCATTACCTTATTTCTATAGAGGCCTTAACTGTCCCATAAGATCTTTCCTGTTCTTTCTTCAATAGTAAGGTCACCGAGGCCTAGATCTAGCAAGTCTCTTAGTAAATGAAAGAGAGTAACAGGAAGTTCTTTCTCCTAAGTAGTTATCTCAGCAATTGCCATACATTCCTTCTGTTCTAGCCACGCCTACAGCTTCTTGCAAATCTCTTACAAACAATTCCTTCCGCTGAAGTGACTTTGTGAAACCCCCAATATTTACTTATGACTTGTCTACTAGCCTCCATAAGAGGGATTTCAGGATAGCACTTAACTCTGGTGAGTTAGTCATATTTTTAAGACACTCATCAGATATTGGAGTCGTCAACACTCTTAAGAAAGAGCTTTGAATAAGGGAACGTTGACAATGAGTAAGTACAATGAACAGCAGAAACAGTAAAAGATTAATAGGCACTCTTATGAGGAAAAGAAAGGCAGAAACACATCTTTCCCAGGGGCTTGCCAGCCTTTTTCCAGGAGTAGGCCTCTTAGAAGCCCTATTCTCCAAGGTAGACTTCGGTGAAGTCCCAAAACTTGGAGATAGGTTTCTGTAAAGCCCCATTCTCTGAGGTAGACTTGGGTGAAGTCCCAGAACTCAGAGATAGGTCTCTGAAGCCCCTATCTTGGTCTGATAGATGGTTTCCCATGCTAAGCAGACTCCACTGGAGTCGGCGTGGCAGGTGCACCGAGGTCCCTCACCTGGGATGAGCCTGGAGCTGAGTGCACAGGCCCAAGATGCTGCAGGAGCCTAGAGGGTGAGCAAGACCTCTTCAAGTCTGCAATTTAAAAGGGCCTTACCGGAAATGCGGGCTGGGGGTGCAAACTGAAGGAATAAAGAGTTGAAGAAGCAGAGCCTGAAGAATGGGTTGTGGAAAAAGTACTACCCCAACGTGTAGTAATAGGAAGGCAGAGTTATTTCCTGAAGTGGAAGGGCTTACAGATGCTGGCAATACTTGGGAGCCTGAAGAAAATTTAGGTAGTCCAAAATCAATGGGAACATTTCATAATTCACAAAAAGCTGGTAGTGGTACAAAAAGAAAATCTATCTCTAACAGTGAAGCTGATTATAGCAGATCAAAGAAGAAAAGATACTGCTGACAGAGGAGCTTTGCCAGGGGTCTTGATCCTGAACAAATAATTGGTGCCACAGATAGTGGAGAATTGATGTTTCTCAAGAAATGGAAAGATTCAGATGAAGCTGACTTGGTGCTGGCAAAGAGGCAAATATGAAGTGTCCTCAAATTGCAATTTGTTCTTACGAAGAAAGACTAATTTAGCGTTCTTGCCCAGAAGATGAAGCTCAGTAAATATTTGCATTGTTGATATGTGTGAACATGTATATATAAAATCTGAGTTTTTTCTTTTTTGCTTATGTGTTGCTGAGGAATCGAACCCAGGGCCTCATGCATGCAAGGCAAGCGCTCTACCACTGAGCCACCTTCCCAGCCCCTTAAAATCTGAGTTTTTAAAACTAATGGTGTAAAACTACATTCTAACAAAAATAAAGTTTGATAAGTTGTTTTTGAAAGTAGTATTAGACTTGCTGAGACAGTTTTGTTTTGTTTTTCCAATAGCACTGGTTACTTTGAACAAATAAAACCTTTCTGTAGGTGCTTCCTTTCCTTTTTTTTTCTTTTTCTGTTCCAGTCCTGGGGCTTGAACTCAGGGCCTGGGCTCTGGCTTGAGCTTTTGTGTTCAAGGCTAGTGCTCTACCACTTGAGCCACAGCGCCACTTCCACCTTTTCTGGCACTTAATTGGAGATAAGAGTCTGATGGACTTTCCTGCCTATGCTGGCTCCCAACTGAGATCCTGAGGTCTTGGCCACCTGAGTAAGGATTACAAGTGTGAGACACTGGTACCTGGCGCTTGTAGTAGCATTTGATTCAATGGTGCATTTCCTCTGCACTCATCAGAGAGATGATTTTTGTTGGTTTTTTTGGTTTTTGTTAGGCAAATTTTCTGGTCACTACTTAGCCAGAACAACTTTGATATGTTGAAGTGCCATCTTGAAAATTTTTGTTTGTATATGTTCATAAATCGCATAGTTTTGTTTTGGAGATTTTGCTTGTTTAGAGGTGCTGGACATCAAATTGCCCCCCTTGTTTAAAATTTTAATTTTCTGTGCCAGACCTGGCGCTTCCCCTGAGCTTTATCCTCTCCACACCAGTGCTCAACCACTTGAGCCACAGCTCCACTTCAGGATTCTGTGGTAGTTAACTGGAAATAAGAATCTCACGGACTTTCCTGCCCAGTCTGGCTTTGAACCTCAGTCCTCAGATCTCAGCCTCCTCAGTAGCAAGGATTGCAGGCGTGAACCTTTGGCACCAGTTTGTTTGTTTGTTTGTTTTGAGACAGCATCACTAGGTACCTTAGGCTGGCCTTGAACATGCTAGATAGCCAGGTTAGCCTCAAACTGTAGGTCTTCCTGCCTCTGCTACAGCTATATAAATGCAAAAGATTGCTTGCAAAGTTTCCTCCTGAAAGGGAACATTTTCTCTACCAACAACTTCCTCCACCCAGATGAGAAAATTAAGACAAATCTTGAGTTCCTTTAATTAGCTAAGCAAAACTGTGGACATTTAAAACTTTCCGCAGTAAGTCATTCCTTTACAGAAGATTGAAATACATAATACTCAACGCTCATGAATCATGGGACATCTAATATTCAGTCCATGGAAATAATTGACTGGTTAGAGATTTAGACAGTTTAGAACCTGCTGGCACAAATGTGTGAACAGATTATGTGTGTGTATGTCCATACACACCAGTTCTGGGGCTTGAACTCAAAGCCTGGCCATTGTACCTGAGCTTTTGTGCTCAAGGCTAGCACTCTACCACTTGAGCCACAGTGCCACTTCTGGCCTTTTCTGTTTATATGGTACTGAGGAATCAAAAACAGGGCGTTATGCACACTAGGTAAGCACTTTACCACTAAGCCACATTCCCAGCCCAATGTATATTATTTTCTTTATTGTAAATATGGTGAACAGTGGTCAGCAGTACATTAAGGTGCCTGGTGCTACATGTTTCTTGAAGAGCACTACAATTTAAATTCATCATTTATACATATTTTAAAATACTGGTTGGTATAAACAGTTTATAATTTATAAACATAGTTTATAATTAAATTTGCTTTTATTTTCTAGGTAAAAATGAATGCTTAATTTGTAAAGTTCCTTGCCATACCGTTTTGCTCTCAAAACATGTAAGTTGAAATCTCTAAAATTTGATTGTGAGTGTATACGTGTGTGTGTGTGTGTGTGTATGTGTTTGTGCATGGGTGAGTTTGCACATGCACACCCATCCACCCTGGGATGGCTTAGACACTGTCCCTTAGCTGCTTTGCGCTCAGCTGGCACGCTATAATTTGAGCCAGAGCTCCACTTCCAGCTTTTTTGGGGGCAGTTAATTGGAGAAAAATTAAGATTCTTATGGACTTTCCAGCCCAGGCTGGCTTCGAACCAAGATCTCAGCTTCCTGCGTAGGTAAGATTACAGGTGTGAGCCACTGGCTCTTGGCTAAAATCAATATGAGTTGAAGCATTTCCTTTTAATTTTTTTTTTTTTTTTTTTGGTTGGTCGTGGGGCTTGAACTCTGGGCTTGGGTGCTGTCCCTCGGCTCTTCAGCTCAACGTGAGTGCTCTACCACTTGAGCCACAGCGCCACTTAAGATTTTCTAGTGGTTTATTGGAGATAAGAGTTTCACGGCCTTTCCTGCCCAGGCTGGCTTTGAACCGTGATCCTCAGATCTCAGCCTCCTGAGTAGGCGAGAGCCACCAGCGCCCGGCTCCTTTTAATTTTTTTAACCTATGTCAGCTTTTTTCTTAGTTTACATTAGTTATGAAGTGGGGAGTTTGTTTCCAATATGTTCCAACCAATCTCATCCCCTCTATCACTCTACCTTACCCCTGCCCCAGACAATCTCAACAACTTCCCATGTTCTAATCTTAATTGTGAAACACTTACTCTGACCTTTCTTAGTTTCTTTCAGACGGTATTTCAAAATTATTCACTGTGTATTTTTTTCTTCCCCTTTTCAAAACTCACTACTCCTAAGTAGTCCCTTAGATCCATGTTATGTAAATGGATATGCATATAGAAATAGATGTACACACATATCCATGCATATTGTGTGTCTTTTAGGTCTAGCTTTCACATATAGATGAAAACTTCATTTTTTTTAGCTTGGCTCAAAATGATGTCTTCCACTGGGTACAAGAGGCTTACACTTGTCATCCTAGCTACTCTGGAGGCTGAGATCTGAGGATCACAGTTCAAAGACAGCCCGGAAAGGAAAGTCCATGAGATTTCTATCTCTAGTTAACCACCCAAAAGCCAGGAGAACTGTGGATCAAGTGGTAGAGTACCTGTCTTGAGCAGGAAACCTAGGGGACAGGGTCCAGCCCTTGAGTTTAACCCCTAGTATTGGCACCAAAAAAATAATAGTGGAAAAATTATGTCTGCCAATTGCATCCATTTTCCTTCAGATGCCATGATTTCATTTTTTAGTGCTGTTGAATATATGCATCATATGTAATATGTATCATATGTAATGTATATACATATTTTTGTATGTATGCATGATGTGTACACGCATTCATACGCACTATCTACTTTATCCATTCATCTGTTGTTGGGTACCTCAGCTGATTCTATCATCTGGTTATTGTGAACAGTGCTGAAATAAACATGGCTATGCAGGTATCTTCCTAGTATGTGTCCAGTAGTGGTGTGGTAGAGTCATAGGGAAGAACTACTTTTTCTTTAGCTCTTTAATTTTTTTGAGCTCTTTGTAATTCTGAATATTAATCATTAATCAAAGATTAACACAAAGATTTTCTCCCATTCTGTCTCATAATCCTATTGACTGTTTCTTTTGCTCTGCAGAAACTTTTTATGTAATTTGACTTGCCAATCCTTGCTCCAACCCCCTGGGCATCTGAAGTCTTATTCTGAATACAATTATCTATGACTATATTCCAGACTTTTCCATATATTTTCCTGTAGGAGATATAAAGTTTCAGGTTTTACTTTGAGCCAACCGGAGTTGATTTTTGTACAGGTTGAGACAAAGAGGTCCCATTTCAGTCTCCTGCAAATGGATAGACAGTTTTCCCAGCAACCATTTGTTGAGGAGTCTGTCTTTTCTCCATTGTATGTTTCTGACTTCTTTGTCAAAATTTAGCTGATTGTAGCTCTGTTTTTATTCCTGGGCCTTCTTTACTGTTTGATTGGCCTTCCGTTCTGTTTTTGTTACTATGGCTCTGTAGTATAGTTTGAAGTCTAATACTGTAGTGCTTATACTGGTAGCCATTTTACTTACAATTACTTTTGCTATTCTGGGTTTATTATAATTCCACATACATTTTTAGATTGATTTCTCTGATTATGTAAAGAATTATATTAGAATTTTGTATTGAATCTATGGAATACTTTTAGCAGTATGACTGTTTTCATGGTATTTGCCAATCCTTGCTCATGGCAGGTTTTTCTGTCTCCTGACGTCTCCTTCAATTTTTTCAAGGTTTTATAGTTTTAATTATAGAGATCTTTTCTTGGTTAATGCGTAAGTATTTTGTTTCTTGGGGGATATTGCTAATAGAATTATTTTCCTTATTTCTTTCCCAGCCTACTCATTGTTGGTATACAGAAAAACTATTTATTTTTGTTTTTGTTTTTTTGGTTATGGGGCTTGAACTCTGGGCCTGGGCTCTGTCCTTGAGCTCTTTAGCTCAAGGCTAGCACTCTACCACTGAAGCCACAGCACCACTCCTGGTTTTCTGGTGGTTAATTGGAGATAAGAGTCTCACAGACTTTCCTGCCTAGGCTGGTTTTGAACCATGATCCTCAGATCTCAGCCTCCTGAGTAGCTAGGATTACAAGAGTGAGCCACCTGCGCCCAGCTAAAGCTATTGATTTTTTAGCATTGATTGTATATCCTGCTACCTCTCTAGAGGTATTTTTCAGTTTTAGAGATTGTTTTATGAGAATGTATAGGATCTATTTAGAAAAGAACGGTAATTTGATTTCTTCTTTTCCTATTTAAGTCCTTTATACTTCTCTCTCCTGCCTTATTGTTCTAGCTAGAAATTCTAGCTATATATATATATATAAAACAGGAGTGGGGAGAATGGATATCCTTATCTCATTCCTGACTTTAGGGGAAAGGATATCAGTTTTTCCCTATTTAATATGATATTGGCTGTAGACTAGGCATATATGGACTATTATGTTCAGATACATCCCTTCTGTTTCTAGGATCTTCACGTTTTTTATTATGGAATGATACTAGATTTTGTCAAAGTCTTTTTCTACATCCACCAGGATGAAGGGTTTTGTTTTGTTTTTGCTTTTACGTTTGAGCTCTAGTTTAATTCCGTTATGGTCAGATAGAACACAAGATGCCATTTCAGTTTTCTTGCGTTTGTCAGCCTTCCTACGTGTCTTAGGATGTGATCTGTTGAGAAAGTTCCATAGTTTGTGTCACCATTGGGTGAAATACTTTCTGGATCCCTGTTAGATCCATGCGGTCTATGGTGTCCTTTAATTCTGAAGTTTGTTTTGTGACTTTTTGTTTGGGTAACCTGGTGACGAAACCGGAGTACTGAGGTCTCCAACCATCATGCACTGGGATCTGTCAGCACTTGTTAGTCCAGGAGGACGCGGTTAGTGAACCTGGGAGTGATTGTTCCTGGCACACACATGTTAAAAGCTGGAATTTCCTCACGGATTGTTCTCTTTACTATTAATAGGAAGCAACCTTCTCTGTCTTTTCTGACTGATTTTAGATTGAAGGCTGTTGTGTCAGATACAAGTGTTGCTCTTCCTGCCTGTTTTCTGGCTCGGTTGGCTTGCAGGATCTTTTTCTGTCCTTTCGCATGAAGCCTGTGCTTGTCTTTGTCAGTGACATGTGTTTCTTGTAGGCAACAAATTTCTTGGATCCAAGTTTTCATTCTGTTTTTGATTGGAGAGTAAAGACCATTAATGTTGAGTGTTAACATTGAGAGCTATGCCCTATTTCCCGTCATTTTGTGATGTTTGCTTCTTTCTTCCTGGTTTGCTAATCCACTTATCTAGTACTGTTTATTGTTCCCTGTGCTCTTTTGGTTTTTTCCCTTCTGTGAGTAGGGTTCCCTTAACTATCTTTTGCAGTGCTAGTTTAGTAGTCATGAGTTCTTTAGCTTTTGTTTACAATGGAGGATTTTTATTTCCCCATCAATTTTCTTGTATAGTTTCACTAGGCAAAGTAATCTAGACCATCAGTTGTTGTCTTTAGGACTTGAATTACATCTTTTCACAGTCTCATTGCATTCAATATGTATATTGAGAAATTGGCTGTTAATCTAAGGGGCTTGCTGTTGTAAGTTACTTGTCTCCTCTGTTTTGCTGCTTTCAGTATTCTGTCTTTATTTTGTATAGTTAGTGATTTTACTTTGTGTCAAATTTTCCTTTCTTGTAGTGCAATTTTCAAGTTGTAATAAAGTGTAGTTAATAGGGCTTCATAAAATGAATTAAAGTTAATGTCTTTTGACGTTTGCTCTTTGAGTTTTTTTGTAAGATTGAGTTTATTTCTTAAAATGTGTTCGGCAGAATTCAGGACTGTCAATATTTGGGTGCTGAAGGTGTTCTGTTTGGAGATTTTTTGGAACTAGGGATTTGGTTTATTAAATATGGGACTATCCAAAATTCCTAATTCTTTTTGAGTTAATATAAGTTGTGTTTTCCTAAGAATTTGTGCATTTCATTAAAATTTTAAATTTCCTTATCAACATGTTTGCAATCCTCATATTTTTTTAATTTTTGGGGGGCGGGGGTCCAGTCGTGGAGCCTGAACTCTGGGCCTGGGCACTGTCCCTCAACTCTTCAGCTCAAGGCTAGCACTCTACCACTTGAGCCATAGCGCCATTTCCTGCTTTTTTCTTTTTGCTTATGTGGTGAGGAATCGAATCCAGGGTCTCAGGCTTGCAAGGCAAGCGCTCTACCACTGAGCCACCTTCCTAGCCCCACTCCTCGTATTTTTTATGTCTATAAGGAAGGTCTATAATGTTCCTTTTCATTTTAACAGTATTATTGTAACTTCTGTCTTTTTCTTGACAATATTGAAATGATTAATTGAGTTTATATTTTCCTTTTTTCTTGTTTTCTCCTTTCTTCCTTTCCTTCTTTCTTTTTTTGAAAGGGAAGACTTCATTGTGTTATTCCAATGTTCCCTTGTGCTCTCTATCCTCCTGATTCAGCCTCTGGAGTTCTGGAACTACAGGCTTCCATTTGGAAGTCTGACTTCCTTTTCTCTTCTTTAAAATGAGCACCTCGCATCAATTTCCACTCTTTTCTTTTTAATATTTACATTACGAAGTTATAGCTTTCCCTATATGTTCATCTTTGCCTATACTACATGTATCTGATTGTGTTATAGCTTTATTATCTTTAGACTTCAAAATTTCTGTATAGTTTCTTCTATGACTTTATATGTTATCCAAAATTATATTGACTAATTCTCAAACATTTGAGAATTTTTAGTTATTTCTATTAATTTTTATTGAAGTTTAACACAGAAAAGAACAAAAATTTTAAGTGTATAACTCGTTGTCATGATCAGAATATAGCTAACATCCAGATCAAGAAGACTTTTATGTATGGGTGCTGGAGAGGTTTGAGTGTTCCCCATCAAGTTCCATCAAATGTGGGCTTTAATCTGATGAGCTGTGCTGAGATATGGGTCAGGTAAGAGATTTAGGCCACAAGGCTCTACCTCATGAACAGACAGTATGAATTCTAGAAGGCTTGGGTCTTCTGCTGTCCCTTTGCTGCCTATGCAACAGGAAGGCCCTCACTAGAATCTAGCACTTGATGGTGGACTTCTACTCCAGCAATGTGAAAAATACATTTCTTCTGTGTTTCATAAATTATCCATCTTTTGATCTTCTGTTAAATGACAACACAGCACAGTCTAAGATAGAATGATCATGAACTGGGTTTTCTTGATGGTGCAGAGACCACAGAGTGCTTTCTCTCACTCACCCTCTCCCCTTGTTCTTGTGCTACTGGCAAGGTATCAGCTCTCTCTCTGTGTGCTAACTCATGACTCAGCACGGCCGTGTACTTCTGCTGCTAATTTGGATCTCCCATGTTTCCCCCGTTCTCCTGCTCCTCACTGCCTCTTGAACTCTCTCTGTTTCCACCAGGGATTATTACTTTGTACCTACTGGGAATTCCCTTTATTGCTTCTCTTGGTACCAAGCTGTTGGTGCCAAGTCCTCTCACATGCCTTTTACTATTTTTTCATTGTTGATCTGTTTGTTATCAATCATCTCAGTTTGTGTGTATGAGAACAGATGTCCTTTCCCCTTTTTTGCCTTTTTTTGTCTTTTTTGGTGCTTGAACTCGGGGCCTGGGCGCTGTCCTTGAGCTTTTCTGCTCAAGGCTAGCACTGTACCACTGGAGCCACAGCCCCACTTCTGGCTTTTTTATTTTAGTTGGAGATAAGAGTCTCATGGACTTTCCTGCCTGGGTTGGTTTCAAACTGGGATCCTCAGATCTCAGCCTCCTGAGTAACTAGGATTGCAGGTGTGAGCCACTGGTACCCACCTCCTTTCTTTTTGCCATAATTTCAAAGCATATTTTCAGGGGTATAGAAGAATGCAGCTCAGAGGGGTTGGTGGCTGCTAACTGGTTCTACCTCTGAGCTCTGTTTCTGCCTGGCTCAGTCCTCAGAGAGACAGCCTCCCGGCACGGTCCTCAGAGAAACAGCCTCCCAGCACAATCCTCAGAGAGACAGCCTCCCAGCATGGTCCTCAGAGAGACAGCCTCCCAGCATGGTCCTCAGAGGGGCAGCCTCCCAGCACGGTCCTCAAAGAAACAGCCTCTCGGCACAATTCTCAGAGAGGCAGCCTCCCGGCACAATTCTCAGAGAGGCAGCCTCCCGGCACGGTCCTCAGAGGGGCAGCCTCCCTGGCAGTGGTAAAGTGCTGGTCATTTGGGTCATCTCTGTTACCTACAGTTATTTCACTAAAGGCTGGATGTTTTTATTAAAACAATAAACATGGAATCATCTGCTCTCTCTTCAGACAAGCTCTGATGTCCAGACTTTGTTTATGAGCATAGACAGTCTGTGTAAGAAGTACTCCCAGGAGACCTCCCAGGTGAGTCGTGACAGCGAGGCTTACTGAGTTCTGTGATGCCCAGAGCACATATTGCTAGACCTGTGGTCTCTGTGCTCCAGAGACCAGCCTCTTGGAGATGTGGGATAGGCAAATACTTTCTGTCTTCTATGAGTTCATTCCATCTCAAGCATTTGCAGCACAAAAGTTTTCAGCTGTTACATCATCCATTTAATCAGTTTTGTTGTTGTTTGCACTTCGGTGTGGCCCCACATGAGCTGCGCTCAGCTCCACTGTTTTTCAGTTAATGCTCCTGAGACTCTCGGGCTCGGAAGTCCAGCTCTTTATGTAGCTAGGGGCTCTCCTGACACACCTTCCCTGGTTCCCATGAGACCTGCCTGTCTTGTAGCTTCTCTCCGCTAGCTTCTTCCTACCTTTCTCCCCACCAGCACACACGCCACATGCCACACGCCGCCACCTGTGCTTGTGGTGAGGACTTCTGCAAAACAGCCTCAGGACTCAACTTCACACGCTCTTAGTCGTCTGCTCAAGCAGCTCCAAGTCTGTCATCCTTCCTTGTCTTATAAAGACCTGAGCCCTGCCAAAAAAAAAAGTAGAATCAGAGCCCGGGAGGCTGGAGAGGGTAGGATCTCCCCCTTTGACAGGACGGCAGGCTTCAAGCACAGCCCGGCTCCGCAGCCCTCTGTCCTAGCTAATGGAAATCCAGGCCCTGCAAAGGAGGTTGCTGCTCCCCCACAGGGCCAGCGAGGGGTGGGCAGAATGCAGACCACTGTCTGTGTCTGTTGTTAAGCACAGATTGCTGGGGTGGAGTGAAGTGAGCCACGACGACGCGTGTATAGCAGACTCTGAATTCTCCTTCGGCCCACACTCAGCCTGGGCTGTGCACTCATCAGTGCAGCATTCGGTGGGACAGTGACCAGTGGGTTGCTGCTTCATCACTCACAGGAAATGGCTTTCTCCCCAAGTTTTAGACCACTGCTGCCTCACTCTCATCGATCTCAGAAGCCCAGACTATACTCGGCACACATGGAACTGGGCTCTGAAGAATGGGAGGCTAACGGTAGTACTATTTTAGGTGTACATGTCTCTGAGTCCTGACAAGGCCCTGCCAGTCTTGCTGGACTTTCTTGTCCTGGCTCTCCGTCCCCACCCAAATCTATGTGTCAGATTCAAGATGTCCTCTGCTTGATACTGTTTAGGCAGACGGCCATTCTCAAGCTGACTACTGTTGTCCTTATAACTGTACACAGCAGTTGACCCCGTCGGGTGAACCGTCCCACCCCCTAAAGTGAGCATACCACCCAAGCAGTTTAGACAAGAGAGGCGCCTGGGAACACAGGCAGCCGGGGGTCCGGGAGTCTTGGTGTGAAGCAGCTCCTCTTCTTGGTGTGAAGCAGCTCCTCTTGCCCCTGCGTTTGATGAGCTTGTGGCTCACTCCTGCAACATCTGTGCACTGCCCACTGGGCGCAGTCAGCACCCAACCCGGTACCCTCCCCCCAAGTCTTTATCAGGAGGACTTTGTTAGAGAAGTACATGTAAAACAAAACACTGTGACCCACAGTTCCGTGTCTCCAAGAGGTATGTCAGCAACTGGCATATGTCATCTTCTCAGATTTCAGAATTTCAAGAAAAACACCGGAGGAGATTGTTGGCCTTCTATAGAGAAAAGGTAAATTGAATTCAGCTCTTGCCACTTGAAATGTTTGACCCTTTGACTTAAATGTCACACTGTTAGCTAACTTCACATTCTTTTTTTTGGGTCAGTCTTAGGGCCTGAACTCTGGGCCTGGGCGCTGTCCCTGAGCTCTAGCTCAAGGCTAGGACTCTAACACTTGAGCCACAGTGCCACTTCTGCATTTTCTGTGTATGTGGTACTGAGGAATCTAACCTGGGGCTTCATGCATAGTAGGCAAGCACTCTACCACTAGACAACATTCTCAGCCCTAGCTTCACAATCTTAAAGGGAGTAGGCTACCTGTTGTGGTGTTTGCTTTCTACCTTTAGGGTCATGGTCTCCTGTCCTCCTGACCATCAGTCTGTTTGCCCGCAACACCTGCCCAGGGACCTCTGGGATGTTGTCCACACAAGCATACCCATGTGGTCATCTGGGCCTCCTCAGCTGAAGCTGGGCCTCCTGAGCCTGGGAGGAGCACCCAGGCCTCTCTGATCACCCATCTTTGTTTTACTAAATAGAAGTCCTTTAAAACAAAGGCTCTGAAGGCTATAGGGCCTGGCTGGGAAGCCCTGGAATTGGGGTGCTCCTCAAATCGAGATGTGCTTCCCCAGCTTGGTGCCTTTTCTCTGTACGGAAGCAGCAGGCCTGCAGGGTGCTCAGGTTCTGTATGTCGCCCTAAGCAGTAGGAGCCTGCTTGCATTATGCCCTGTCTTGCCTGAGAATTTTGTGTGTTGTTGCCTTCTCAGTCCTCCCTGCAAACCTAGAGAACAGGAAATACGAGCTTCATTTACAGAAACCACCACAGAATCCGACGACTCATATCAAGTCAGTACCTCAAGAACTCATAGGTGCCGGGTAACAGCGACAGAGACAGACCTAAGCACCAGGAGAAGCCCAGACTGATTTTGGTCCTGAAATCGCCTGTGTGTACACAAATGTGTCTCAGACTTTTGAGACCAGAGTCCTAGTAGCATTGATCACCCTGTGGCATTGATTCACTCTGGGCATCAACTGACTGACTCCGCTCTGCACAGATAGACCTCAGAACCTGATCGCTAGGGATGTAATGAACTAGGCTTGTCGGGAAATCTGATAGAGGTGTTTGGAAATTTAGCTGCCGTTTTCCAGGGTCTTCTGATGATAGAATTGTTTCTGTTCAGATCTCTCAGTTGGAAGTGTCTCTTAGGAAATCAGTGCTCCAGACTGAGCAGCTACAAAGGTAAGAACCCCTCTGCAAGACAGTCATCTATCTCTGTCCCTCCAAAATCTGGGAAGGAAAGGAAAGGGCACTTTGGCTTAGCAGAAACTCTGTCAGAGCAAAAGCTGCTGTGGGAAAACCAAAGGGAAAAAAAAAAACAGAAACAAGCATGTGAAACTCTGTGGGGCCCTCCATGCCCCTAAGGCAGAAGGGGCCGTGGAGACTAGAGACTCAGGCCCCTTAACGGTGGCGCTACAGTCCTGCTCCCCCACCCTCGCAGCGCGTTGACGGGGTGGGCATGCTTGGCCGTGCAGAGCGCTCCTTTACGGGCACTGTAGCCCGCACCACCGGTGGGAAGACAGCCCAGAGCACAGACTCACCTTTCCCTCTTCAGAAAAGCAAGCTTTTAGTTTTCTCTCTTCTTTTAAGAGCATATATTAATTATGTGAAGGGGTTTCATTGTGACACTTCCATATGTGCATATAATGTTCTTTGGCTGAATCCATCTCCTCTGCCACTCTGCCTTGTTCCCTCCCTACTTTTAAACTAACTGTAACAGGACTCACTCTGTTTTCACACGTGTGTGTAAAGTACTTGGACATAATGGCTCCATCCGCCTCCCCTGTCACTCTCTCCCCTCCTCCTGGCTCCACTCATGTCATTCTGGTTTTTGGTCTGAAGTCCATACTTACGAGAAAACATGATATCTGGTTTTCTCAATTTGGCTCATTTTTCTTAATGATTTCCAATGCATTCATTTACCGGAAATCATACGGTTTCATGGCTGAATAATATTCTGTATTGTGTATTATATACTCTGTTTTCATTATCCATTAATCTATTGATGGGAACCTTGGCTAATTCTTTAACTTGGCTGTTTATTAAGAAATTCCATACTTATTCCCATAATCTCTGTAGAGTGCCCTAATAATATACATGATCACCAAACAGCATATACAGGGCTTATTTGTTGTTACTTGTTTTCTTGATGATGGCTGTTCTGACAGGAGTGACAGTATTGTTTTGATTTGCATTTCCTTTGTGGCTAAAGATCTTGAACATCCATATATTTATTAGCCATTTGTACTACTGAGAACTGTCTGTTCATTTGCCCCTTTATTAATTAAACTATCTGTCGTTTTGTAATTCATTTTTGGAACTCTTTATATATTCTGGATATTAATTCTTTTTTTTTTGTCATCAGTCATGGGGCTTGAACTCCGGGTCTGGGCTCTGTCCCTCAGCTCTTCAGCTCAAGGCAAGCGAGCTGTCTGCCGCATGAGCTACAGTGCCACTTCTGGTTTTCTAGTGGTTTATTGGAGATAAGAGTCTCACAGTCTTTCCTGCCCGGGCTGGCTTTGAACCGTGATCCTCAGATCTCAGCCTTCTGAGTAGCTAGGATTACAGATGTGAGCCACCCAGCTGGATATTAATGCTTTATCCAATGAATAGCTGGAAAAGATTTTCTCCAGTTCCAGTGACTCTTGATTCTGACAGTTGTTTCTTTATACAATCCCATTTGTCAAGTCTTGCTCTTATTTCCTGAGAATTAGAGTTTTATATTTTCAGATGTTTTTCCTATGTTTTTCAGTAGTAATTTCAGTGCTTTAGGTATCACATTAAGATCTTTGATCCATTTTGAGTTGATTTTTTGTTTGTTTGTTTTTGGTTGTGGAGCTTGAACTCTGGGCCTGGGTGGCAGTCCCTCAGCTCTTCAGCTCAAGGCAAGCATTCTACAACTTGAGCCACAGCGCCACTTCAAAAACCAACCTCCCTCCCTCCCTCCCTCCCTCTCTCCCTCCCTCCCTCCCTTCCTCCCTTCCTTCCTCCCTCCCTCTCTCCCTCTCTCTCTCCCTCTCCCTCTCCCTCTCACTCTCTCACTCTCTCCCTCTCTCCTCCCCCCCTTTCTTTCTTTCTTTTAGTCAGTTGTGGGGCCTGAACTCTGGGCCTAGGCACTGTCCCTTAGCTTTTCAGCTCAAGGCAAGCACTCTACCACTTGAGCCACAGCGCCACTTCCTTAAATTGATTTTTATACAGAGAGAGATAAGGAACTACTTTCAGTTTTCTAGATGTGAATGCTCAGTTTTCCCAACACAATTTTTTTTTCCAGTGTGTGTTACAGAATCCTTTGCAAAAAATAACTTGACTGGAAACAAATAATGTGACTGAAATATGGATTTAGTTCTAGATCTTCTGCTATATTCCATTGATCTGAGTTGTGTTTTGTTTGTTTATTTGGCGGTCATGGGGCTTGAACTCTGGGCCTGAGCACTGTCCCTCGGCTCTTCAGCTCAAGGATAGTGTTCTACCACTTGAGTTACAGCGCCCACTTCTGGTTTTCTGGTAGTTTATTGGAGATAAGAGTTTCACGGAAAGCCAGGCGCTGGTGGCTCACGCCTGTAATCCTAGCTACTCAGGAGGTTGAGATCTGAGAATCGCGGTTCAAAGCCAGCCCGGGCAGGAGAGACCCTGAGACTCCTATCTCCAATAAACCACCAGAAAACTGGAAGTGGCGCTGTAGCTCAAGTGATAGAGCGCTCGCCTTGAGCTGAAATGCTGAGGGACAGTGCCCAGACCCAGAGTTCAAGCCCCACGACCGACCAAAAAAAAAAAAAAAAAAGAGTTTCATGGAGCTGGGCACTGGTGGCTCATGCCTGTAATCCTAGCTACTCCGGAAACTGAGGTCTGAGGATCATGGTTCAAAGCCAGCCCAGGCAGGAAAGTCCGTGAGACTCTTATCTCCAATAAACCACTAGAAAACCAGAAGTGGTGCTGTGGCCCAAGTGGTAGAACGCTCGCCTTGAGCTGAAGAGCGCAGGGACAGTGCCTAAGCCCAGAGTTCAGCCCCACAACCGACCAAAAAAAAAAAAAAAGAGTTTCACAGACTTTCCTGCCCGGGCTGGCTTTGAACCATGATCCTCATATCTCAGCCTCCTAAGTAGCTAGGATTACAGGCATGAGCCACTGGCATCTTGCAGAATTTTTGTTTTTGTTTTTGTTTTTTTTAATTATTTTTTTTGTGAAAATACTGTACAGAGGGGTTACAATAAAATGGGCAAGATAATGAGTACATTTCTTATCAAGCATGGCAGGCTCCTCCCTTGTTTCCCCTTCCCATCCCTTCCCATCCTCCCCCCGCACCCCAACCCAATCCTCCCCACTCCCCCCTCCCCCCAGAATTTTTATTTTGTAAGGCTATTGTGGATAAGATTATTTTCCTGATTTCTTCCCAGGCTGCTTGTTACTGATACATAGAAAAACTGCTGATTATAGTCTGTTGATTTTTGTATCTTGCTATTTTGCCAAAAGTGTTTATCAGGTTATAAGGTTTTTTTAAATTGGAATCTTTAGAGTCTGTGAAATATAGGATCCTATCTGCAAATAGGGATTAATTGACTTCTGCTTTTTTTTTTTTTTTTTTTTGTCGGTCGTGGGGCTTGAACTCTGGGCCTGGGCGCTGTCCCTCAGCTCTTCAGCTCAAGGCGAGCGCTCTACCACTTGAGCTACAGCGCCACTTCCGGTTTTCTGGTGGTTTATTGGAGATAGGAGTCTCACGGTCTCTCCTGCCCGGGCTGGCTTTGAACCGTGATCCTCAGATCTCAGCCTCCTGAGTAGCTAGGATTACAGGCGTGAGCCACCAGCGCCCGGCTAATTGACTTCTGCTTTTATCTCTGTTGTGAAAGCACATTGTATTTAATTCCTCCAGAATTTGGAATCAATATTATGTCAATGTTCACTTAACACTTTGATATGCAAACACAGTGCGTCTGTGTGTTTATGCTAGTACTGAGGTTTGAATACAGGGCCTGAACACTGTTCCATAGCTTTTTCACTCAAGGCTTGAGTCACAGCTCCACTTCTGGCTCTTTGGTGATTTATTGGAGATAAGAGTCTCATGTACAGTCCTACCTGGGCTGACTTCAATCTTGATCCTCAGATTTCAGCTTCCTGGGTGGCTAGGATTGTAAGTGTACATCTTTTTTTTTTTTTTTTGGGGGGGGGTCTGGTCATGGGTCTTAAACTCTGGGCCTGGGCGCTGTCCCTCAGTTCTTCAGCTCAAGGCTAGCGCTCTATCACTTGAGCCACAGCACCACTTCTGGCTTTTTTTCTTTTTGCTTATGTGGTGCTGGGGAATCCAACCTAGGGCTTCAGGCATGCAAGGCAAACACTCTACCACTGAGCCACCTTCCCAGCCCCTTCTTTGATTTCTTGAGATTTTTGTAGTTTGGCTTCCTTGGTTATATTTATTCCTAGTTTATTTTTTTTTTTAAAAGGAGGCTATTCCAAATGGAATTTATTTTCCTGATTTCCTTCTCTTACTGTACTTTGTTGGTATACAGAAAAGCTACTGATCTTTGTGGGTTGATTTTTTTTTTTTTTTTTTTTTTTTTTTTGTTTGGTCGTGGAGCTTGAACTCTGGGCCTAGGCACTGTCCCTCAGCTCTTCAGCTCAAGGCTAGGGCTCTACCACTTGAGCCACAGCGCCACTTCCGGCTTTTTTCTTTTTGCTTATGTGGTGCTGAGGAATCGAACCCAGGGCCTCAGGCATGCAAGGCAAGCGCTCTACCACTGGGCCACCTTCCCAGCCCCAGTAAGTGTACATCTTGTGTCCAGCGATGTGTATGGTTTTGTGAGATATGATTCTTTCCTATTAAGTTTCTTCTGCCAATGGAGTAACAGTGGTGTGGTCACACGCTAAGTTGACGCTTGAGAAGTTGGTGGTCCTGTATGTACAGCTTCCTCCGGTGGGTGCATGAGCATGTAGGTGCTGCCTGAAAGGAATATGGCCACGCCGGGCCTGGGGCCCAGGAGGGACACGTCATCCATTTCCTGATTTCATTCTCAGGAAAGGGCCTCTTTCAGGTGTCCTTATTTGAGATTAGAAGAGTTGTCCTGTGCTATTTGCTGAGTGATGTGTTCCAGGGTCAACAAATTCCAGGTCCAATCTGGCCCACAGTATGCATTTTATACCTCCAGATGGAAGGTGACAGCATAGTACAACAGGGCCTATGCCATCAAGGGAATCCACTCATACGCCATTCCTTTGCAAGAGATACTGCAGACTTCTGCTTCTTAGAATTATCACAGATACAGAAAGAGAGAGTCATAGTGCATTTTGGTGCAGAATTGCTTTTGTTTTTCCTCTTTTATATATCATTTTTCTGGGTTGGGGCAGGGCAAGAGGGTCAGTAGAGCATGTAGTCATCTGTCAAATTCATGTGGGGCTGCATGTGCAGGCCTGCTAACGACAACTGTCTGCTTCCAAACCGTGTCCTTGCAGCTGGGGTGAAGTAGTACCATACTTTCCATCATTTAATTTGGTGCCTTTCTCCATCTATTTAGTAGCAGATTATCACAACAAACAGCTTTTGACACAATGAAAAATTCAGTTTCAAGTAAGTACAGTAATGGCAGAAAGGAGAATATAAAAAATAACCTGCTGCTGAATTACTGAATATGTAGTAGTAATATATATTTTTATTATCACTCCTTCAGCAAAGCCAAATGGATATGTCTTGCTGCCTCCTAATTCATCCGCCCTTGAAAGGTGTGTAGGTCTGGTGGGATGGTAGGAGTTTTTAAAAATCATGGGACCCTTAAGTCCTTCCTGAGGACACGTCTACATTTCTTTTCCCATCTTGTCTCATCTTAAAGTCCCAAATCCCACCAAGTTGTCCAGAGAATGGGCGATTTATTGGACTTCTAACTTCCTCTGGTACTTAGGTTCTCTTAGTGTGAGACTTGAATTCCTGAAATGGGAATACAAGATCTTAGATGGCCAATCAGAGAACGCCAAGCCTATGGCCACAGTGATTGGATAACTCAGTCTTTTATGAGCACCAGCTACAAAACTGGCTGCTAAGCATGGACAGCCTAGAACTGAAGAGCCTCATCAGGAGGGTTCACAATGTGCCCTTTCACTGGTGGGCAGCTGAATACTTGGTTGTCTGACCCTGGGTCAGCGTCCTTTACGTGACAAAATGCAGGCTATACTCTTGTGGCCCTTGTTTGACCTGTGCCTCTCCTATATTGATCGTTACTCTGTGCCAAGAGCTCAACCTTTGTCCCTCTGCTGTTCAAGGGAAAAGCCCAACCTGGAATAGTCATGGTTCTTGCAGGGACAGAGTGCATTTATGATACTACCACTTGGTAACAGAGAGGACACTGTTGTGAGGGAGGGCAGTACTCTATCCCCTGTACTCTATCCCTGGGCCTCAAGAGATAGGAATCAAGAGGGAGAGAGACAGCATGGACTGGCACCTGCAATGGGTCCAGTATGTCATCCAAACAGGTTTACCAACAAGATATAGTTGATGGATCTGAAGCAAGCAGACGTGAGTTCCAAGAGGCCATGCTGTGACAGAGAGGTGGTCAGTGAGGTATACGTCTATGCAGCCCAGCTGGGCGTGGGGTTCAGGGGACCAGGTAGGCTGCCCCTATCTGTCTGCGGGGAGGTGACACCAAGAGAGGAAGGCAAGTAGGATAAATCCCTGAGTCAATCACACTGAAGAACTAGTAGGAGGTGGAGGACTAGAGACTGTGTCTGGGATGGTGGCTCTGTGCTGATTGAAAAAGTTAAATTTACACTTAGAAAGTGCTCCTGGGAAGCAGATTAAGAGAACATGCTGTCCCCAGGCTGGGTACAGTCCCCAGGCTGGGGCTGTCAGTCAGCAGAGAAGGGGTCTCTCTGAGGTCCTGCTGTCAGGATGGCCAGGCCAGGAGAAGACAGACCAACTTGGAAACTAATCCAAGTGATATTTTCCTACTCACCTTTGGACTGACAAGTGGTCAAACCGGGGCTGGCAGTGTGCATTAACAAAAAAGTGACTGCTCCTGCTCTTGGGGGGGGGGGGGGGGTGGAGGGCGTCTGGCCAGCAGCTGCAGGTGGAGTTGGAAGATGCTGAATTGCTGAGTTGAGAGAGACTGCCTGGAGGAGCGGGGACAGGAAAGGCCGTGCGAGGTGCTGTGCTCGCTCATAGACAGGCAGCAACAAGGAGCGCACAGGAGGCGATCAAACCCTGGCAGCACTGAGAGAGGACGCCTCCCTGGTCTGTTCCATGCAAGTGTGTTTAACTGATGACTTTAAGCTATAGAAAAGTGCTGGGCTTAAAGAACTCCTTTCATTGATCAACAGAGTGGAGTCGATGGAAGTTGACCTTACTCCTCCAGTGCAGAAAGTAAGTACACTTACACCACCACGTTGCTTATTTCTCAGGAAAGGATGTTTAATACTTCACAGTTGACCTCAGTGCCCATAAACATAGTGTTTGTTTAACAGTGTCCCGGCCTCCGGCTGAGCTCTTCACTGTTTGCTGGCCCTGGCATATGTGAGTTGTGGTTCTAAACTTGGTCTTTGCATTCTTCCCTAATGAGGAGGCGTGTCATCCTGGGAGGCACAGGGTCCCGCACAGTGGCAGGGGCATGACTCGCGCTTCCCCTGCCCTTACCTACAGCCTCAAGAAGAAACACAAAACACTGCTGAAGAAACACAGAAACTTGTCGTTTCTGGAAAAGGATTGAAAATGGGAGAACTGAGAAAGCAGAAAGGCACAGCTGTAACTTGGAGAGAGAGGCAGAGATGCGTGATTAGAACCGATGGCAGTTCTGTGCCCTGCCCGGTGCAGGCAGAGCTGCAGGGCTGGGTGCTGGGCGAGCTGTGACCAGCAGAAGGGAGCGGGGAGGAAGGCCGCAGGCACTGACGGAAGGGAGCCTGCTCCTTAGCCGCACGTTGTCTCGTGGGGGTCGCCCGGAGAGCTTCAGGCACCAGGCTGCTCCCAGCACGGCTCCAAGCCCTTGTGGATGTGAACAGTCCCTCTGGTTCTCTCCACAATGGACACCGCTGTGGGGACTTGTTAGAAGTAATGTCTGCTTCTAGCAGAGTCTCCCAACCCGACTCCTCGGTAAGAAGGTAGAATGACCCACTTTAGGAAGGAGGCATTTGGTTCCTTGGCAGCTGGTGTGAGTACAAGCCACCTCTCTACCCAGCTAACGTCCCAGCGCCTCCTGCCACGCCGGCTTCCTGCAGCAGCATCTCCACCCACGCACACCCCAGGCAGATCTCGCCATCCACCTTGGCTCCTCGGGCTAAGCACCCGCTTCCATCTGTGTTTCTGTCCACAGGTGGCCTTGTTTTGGGGGTGGACATGTACTGTGGCTTCATGGCTCCCACAGCATGTGAGGAAGAGTTTTCCTGTCAGGTCAGCTTTAGTTTTTCTTCAGACCCATGCAGTTGGGCCAGACTAGAGATGCTAAAGACCACAGGCTCAGTCATGGGAATAGCGAAATCCTGAGCCAGCCAGGGGGGATGTTTTCTGGAAGGGGCCAGGTGGTTTCAGCTGCAGCTACTGAGCTCTACTGTTGAATAAAAAACTAGCTGCCTGGCACTGGTGGCTCACCCCTGTAATCCTAGCTACCCAGGGCTGCGATCCAAGGATTGCAATTCCAAGTCAGCCCAGACAGGAAAGTTTGTGAGACTTTTTTTTCTTATTTTGTGCATTATTCCTTTTAATAGGTAAGTTATATTTAAAACAACTCATTTCCCATTACAAAGCATCCTTCCTTCCCATATCTTGTGCACCTTCAGCTCAGCTAGTGAAAGGAACTTAAGGCTGTGTTCTTTATACCAGCTCTAGTGCTCTGTCCCTTACACCATCCCAGTCCAGAGGAGACCCTGCAGACGGGATGCTCTGGTGCTCTGTCCCTTACGCCATCCCAGTCCAGAGGAGACCCTGCAGACGGGATGCTCTGGTGCTCTGTCCTTTACGCCATCCCAGTCCAGAGGAGACCCTGCAGACGGGATGCTCTGGTGCTCTGCCCTCTCCTCTGCCCCAGTCCAGAGGAGACCCTGTAGGCGGGATGCTCTGGTCCTGTCCCTTACGCCATCCCAGTCCAGAGGAGACCCTGTAGGCGGGATGCTCTGGTGCTCTGTCCCTTACGCCATCCCAGTCCAGAGGAGACCCTGTAGGCGGGATGCTCTGGTGCTCTGTCCCTTACGCCATCCCAGTCCAGAGGAGACCCTGTAGACAGGATGCTCTGGTGCTCTGTCCTTTACGCCATCCCAGTCCAGAGGAGACCCTGTAGACCGGATGCTCTGGTGCTCTGTCCCTTACGCCATCCCAGTCCAGAGGAGACCCTGCAGACGGGATGCTCTGGTCTTCTGTCCCTTACGCCATCCCAGTCCAGAGGAGACCCTGTAGAGTCCAGGTCTGACCTTCAGGGCCTAGGAGTAAACTAGGCTCTGAAAGCCTGCAGGTGGGGAGGGGGCATGCAGCTGTGGAGTCCTGTGGGCTCTCTACAGCTAGCTCAGGAGCACCCAGGGTCAGGTGGCAGGGCCAAAGCCTGGGAACAGGACCCAGCCTCCTAAGTGACTGGGCAGCCTTACTCTGTGAGACTCCTGTCTCCAATAAACTACCCAGAAAAAGCTGGAAGTAGTACTGTGGCTCAAGTGGTAGAACACTAGCCTTGAGCACAAAGAGATTCAGGGACAGGCCCTGAGTTCAAGCCCCAGGACCAGCAAAAACAAAACAACAAAAACTAGCCCATATAGTAATGAATGTGTGTACTATTCCAATAAAGCTTTATTAACAAAAACAGACAGAGGACATAGTTTTTGCACTGTGCTACACAGAACATGAAGTCACAAGGAAAATGTCTAAAACCAACTTGTAATCTCTGAAATTCTTTGTGATTCCTGGAGTGGATCTGTAGAGCCTTTTTGGGGAAGGCAGACTTGCAGCTGTGACTGCCCTTCCGTAATGGGGAGGCAAGGGCTACTCCAGTTGAACCCGAGGTTCAACCCAAGTTGAGCAGAGGTTCCGGGTTGCCTCCTGGGGTGCTCAGTAGGCTTGAGTCTTTCTGGTTGGCCCGCTGAGATCAGTGCCCCTTCCTCTCACTGAACATGCACCTGCTAGCACCTGGGGGGAAGCATTGTCTGGTGTGAGGAGTGAAGCTTCGCTGTTATTTCTGCCCAAAGCTTTGATCCGAAAAGAGCATAGAACCTTCTGCTGTGTGCAGCTGGTAGATCTTTTTATAAGGTAAATCATGACTTTCAAATATAAAGGAACACCTCCCACCTGCTTTATTTAACTGTTTGTGAGAGAATAAGATAAAATGGGAAAGTTTCGCCACAGAAAATCCAGAGGGCAAACACCTACAAGAGAGAGACTACTGAGGGACACAGCACTCCTCCCCTCATGTGGCGGAGCCCATGTGACAGTGTGCAAGGATCTCCTGGCTGTGAGACTGCGGCTTCATACAGTGTCTACACTTCTCCTGGTACCAGCAACATCCTGGGTCTTACCAGAGCACTTACTGTCTGTTAAGAAAACCCTCTATGGCCGGGCGCCTCTGAATCACACCTGTAATCCTAGCTTCTCAGGAGGCTGAGATCTGAGAATCATGGTTCAAAGCCAGCCTGGGCAGGAAAGGCCATGAGGCTCTTATTTCCAGTAAACCACCAGAAAACCGGAAGTGGCGCTGTGGCTCAAGTGGTAGAGTGCTTGCCTTGAGCTGAAGAGCTGAGGGACAGCGCCCAGGCCCAGAGTTCAAGCCCCACGACCATCCAAAAAAAAAACAAAAAACTACATGAAGCAAGTTACAAGTAAGAGGAGAGAAGAATCTGGCACACTTGGACTCCAAGCGTGAGCCCGGTGTGAGCCAGGCCACCCAGCATGCTGGTTCCAAGCAGTCTCAGAACGCAGCGACTGCTATCTTCATGGAAACAGCTGAGTGAGGCCTGCTGAGGTGAAGGGTGGAAGGACTCCACTTGTATTTCCCATGGACACCAGGCCTCTGTGGGGAGACCTTCCTGCCTGAGGGCATGCTCTCCAGAATGCATCCTGACATGCAAGACCTCTCTCCGGATGCCATTCTCAGAACCATCCTGCCTGGTCTGCCCCAGTACTCTGCCACCATGGTTTAATTGCCATAGTCACAGTAGCGGCAGCCAGAGTGGAGGGACCATTAAACCTGGTGTCACGCAAGGCAGCCCCTGAGCCAGCTGCTCCAGGATGAGCTGGGGGATGGGATGGGATGCCGCCCAGGCTGGATGAAGCCCAGACTAGAAACAGAAAGCCAGACTTGGCATGCATGGGTCATACTAGGCAAGTTTTATTGTAACATGTCCACACATCCCCAGCCCCCCTTCCTGAAACAATTGGAGCAGATTTTATTGTTTGCATACATGCAAACCCACCGCTTGAACCCTGTGGATCCATGTTCACTGTCCTTGTCAGCCCAGACCCGCCCTGCTCGTATCCATCCCTGCAGCAGAGCAGAAAGCCAAAACGGGAAGTGTGCCCAGCAGCTCCTGAGCAACCCCTGTGTGGGGGTTCACGTGACCTCTGCCCCCGTATCCATCCCTGCAACAGAGCAAAAAGCCAAAGCGGGAAGTGTGCCCAGCAGCTCCTGAGCAACCCCTGTGTCTGCCCCAGACCCTGCAGGACTGCCAAGGGCCTCCCTCAGTGTGGGCCATCACCCTAGGTGCTTCGGCCTCTTTGCATTCTTTTTGCATTAACTGTTACTAAACTCTTGGCCCAGACAAGGAGCTGGAGAACAAATCAGAACCAGAATTAGTTCCTCTGAGGTGGTACCAGAGATTGAACCCAGGCCTGTGCCAGCCAGGTCTTTCCCCACTTAGTTACATCTTTAGCCTTTTTTGTTTTACTTTGAGACAAAATCTCACCGAGATTCCCAATTCTGGTCTTGAACTTGTCATCCTCCTACCTTAGACTCCCAAGCAGCTGGAATTACAGGAGTATGCCACCATGTTCAGCCAAGAAGCCATTCTTATTAGCGTCAACATGAAAATGGGCAGTTTACCTCATCTAAGTCTTTTCTCTGTGAAGTTTCAAATGATGTATCAACTTCAGATAATATGTAAGTTCATGTGAGCTGCACGTGCCTGCCAGGAGCCGCAGAACAGCTAGAGAGAAGGGGCCAGGACAGGAAGGAGTAGTACCTGGAGGGTCTTCTGTGGAGTTGTGAGCTCAGAACCTACCTGTGGGTCACACTGCTGTCCATGGCACAGCGAACGACTGGCTTTTGGGCATCTGGACTTGGTAGGCAAGTGCCAGCCTCCATACAGCAGGACTGGCCAGCGCTGGGGCTCGTGGAAGAACCGGCACCGCTGGGAAGGTGACCTCGTGTGACCCACGGGCGGCACCAGAGCCGTGGACGAGAGCACTTCTGACTGCCTGTGAGGGGGAGCCGTCAGCCATGAGCACCGCACCCTAAACTGTAGCCACATACGGGGAGAGCTCTCACCTCTACAAGTTTCTCTGTTAGGGTATGAATGGGGTTCCCAGCCTCAGGGAGTAAGGAGAAGGGGGAAGGTTACGGCAAGGTGGAGAGCGAGCCTGTGAGAGCAGTGATTCCCATCTGGAGCCATCCCTCAGGATGACACCACGGAAAGCACAGTGCGTGTCCCAGAGGGGCCCGGAGCAGGGACACTCACGCCAGCAGAGGCAATAGGAATAGAAAGGTTCTCCTGGCGGGTCGGAAGTGCCTGTGATCACAGGAGGCGTGGGGTGGGATGCTAGGGAGAGAGCACCAGAATCAGCCCAGGATAGTTGACAGGGCAATGTCTAGACCCAGGAAGGGAAGTGAAAGACTTGGGAAAGAACACTGGCAGTGGGCACGGAGCTAAGGAGTGGCCACAGCAGAGAGGGATCAGCACACGTGCCCGTTGGTGCCCACTGTGAGGACGAAGCCTGCAGCCCAGCTTCCCAGCCCCGGCAGGCAGCTCCGAGCCCTCAGCCTCCTGAGGCTGGAGCAGGGTGGGGACTGCCCGCCTCCGCATTGCTCCTGGGAAGAAGCTGCAGAGCAGGAGGACCTGGACAGCTCTCCTCAAGAGGACCGTCACACACCTTACATCTCCTGACATCAGCCAAGAACTCTGGGTTTGTTTTTCTTTATCCTGGCATTCTTTTTTATGTGTGTGTTTGCCAGTCCTGGAGTTGAACTCGGGGCCTGGACACTGTCCCTGAGCCTTTGTACTGTAGGCTAGCACTCTTAACACTTGAGCCACAGCTCCGCATCCAGTCCCCATCCCCTTTTTTTGTGTGGTTAGTTGGAGATAAGTCTCGCTGACTTTCTTGCCCAGGCTTGCTTCAAACTGCAATCCTCAGATCTCAGCCTCCTGGGTAGCTAGGATGACAGATGTGCCAGTTCTCCTGGCATTCTTAAAGCACTTAGTTTCAGGCCTTGATGGAGCAAAGGGAACAAAGCCAGGCCCACTCTGCACTAGCCACAGGGTCATGTTCTGGCCTGTGAGTGGAGCTGGATTTATCCAGCTGGGGCTGAGAAGGAGAGGCCCAGAGCTCTGAAAACCCCGGAACTGTCTGAGCCTCACAAATGGCCATCTGGGAACTTAACTAACTGTTTTCTTTTGTTCACTCAGCCTGAGGTAGCAGCAGGCCCTGCAAGGATCTCTTTGATTAGCCCACCTCAGGATGGACGCATGGGTGAGTACAAGTTCTATAGAACGTTTGTGCTCTACCACTTGAGTTCAGTAAACACTAAGTGGAAAATGAACTGTGTAACTTGTAGAAGGGAGGAAGCAAAGGAAGGGGTGACATTATCCAAAAAAGGAAATTCACTCATTACCTGACTTACAAAATGGTACCTTCCCTGTACAACACTTTCATAATAGCAATAAATTATATTTAAAAATAAATATTGACCTTTATCTAATAACATACAAAAATCAACTCAGGCCCCTGTGACTCACACTTATAATTGGAGCTACTCAGGAAGCTGAGATCTGAGAGTCCTGGTGTGAAGCCAACCTGAGCAGGAAAGTCCATGAAACTCTTATCTCCCATTAACTACTCAAAAGCCAGATGTAGAACTGTGGGCTCAAATAGTAGAGCACTAACCTTCAGCAAAAAAAAATGCAGGAACAGCACCTAGGCCTGAGTTTAAGCCCTGGAACCAGCAAACATACACAAATTAGGATAAATCAAAGACCTAAAACTATAAAATTTAAATTTAAAATGTTTTTCAGGGGCTGGGGGTGTGGCTTAGTGGTAGAGTGCTTGCCAGGCGTGCATGAAGCCCTGGGTTCGATTACTCTGTACCACATAAACAGGAAAAGCTGGAAGTGGCACTGTGGCTCAAGTGGTAGAGTACTAGCCTTACACTAAAGAAGCTCAGGGATAGTGCCAAGCCCTGAGTTCAAGTCCCAGGACTGGCACAAAAAGAAAAGGTTATGCAACAAAAAACTATCAAAATGGAAAAAAAAAAAAAAAAGTCCCATCTCCTAAATGAGAAAAAGATATTTGTCAATCATATATATGCCTGAGAAGAAATAGAGGTCAAGAATAATAAAGTAAGCCACCTTATTCAAGGATTTATTGGGGCTGGGAAGGCGGCGCAGTGGTAGAATGCTTGCCTCGCATGCATCAGGCCCAGGGTTCGATTCCTCAGCACCACATAAACAGAAAAAGCCAGAAGTGGGTGCTATGGCTCAAGTGGTAGAGCGCTAGCCTTGAGCTGAAGAGCTGAGAGACAGCACCCAGGCCCTGAGTTCAGGCTTCATGACAGACCAAAAAAAAAAAGGTTTATTGCACACAATTTTAACAAAGCATAACCAGAAAACAGTAAAATTTTAAAAACTCAAAACCAAAAGCTTTAAATTCCTGCATGAATCTTGCAGCTCTGTTGATGCGGAGCTCCCAGTCCTGCGTTATTACCAGTTGTGTTCAGGTTGCGTGATATCCTGAGCTTTTTTCACCAGTACTTAAGCTTGTGAATATAGGCCTCCCAAAAAAGAGGAGAGTGTCCAAAACAAGGTAAATGGTACTCTAATCCTTGAAAGACCTCAAGCCCTTCATGTGTTTGATGTCATGGTTGTATTGAAAGTTGTAGATTTGTCTTTAGCAGAAGTTGGGTGACATTATAGGAAAAATGAGTCATGTATCCACAATTCAGTGCTGAACTGCATCCTGACCATTTGTGGATTTTTATCAGCAGTAGGATCTACCTGTGGATCCCAAGGTTCTGTTGTATAAAGAAGTTCTAAAATTGGGCAATGGAAAAAATTGTAAGTGATAGAAGGAACTGGATGGAAAGAAGGCATACAAATGGCTGATAAGCACTTGCAACGGCATCCGTCCAGGCTTTAGAGGGTGCAGACTAAAACTGCAGCAAGGTACTACCTCACAACCACAAAGACGGCTACTATATTTTAAAAAATGGCAACTAAGCAACAAAAAAAAATAAGTGATGGGGAGAAAATGACTTATGCACTGTTAGTGGAGATGTAGAATAGCACAGCCACTGGAAAAAATGGTACAGTGGCTCATCAACAGTACAAGTTAGCCTTACCATAGGTGAGCAGATCCACTGCTGTCCCTGCGTCAAAAGACCAGGAGGTAGACCTAAAGTCGATATGCTCTTTATACCAACACTGTCTGCAGCAACATTGTCCACCTGAAACAGAAGCAGCCTAAATTGACAGATGAATGGCATCAAAAGACATGGCTGACAACAGTGTGCACACAGAAATATGAAAACAACCCTTTTTGCCATGGCCTAGAAAAAAAGTCTAGGAATTAACCTAACCATAGCGAAAACTATACAAATCTAAAGAAAGAAATCAAAGACGGCACCATGCCTTCCATGCTCACAGATACGTAGAATCAATACTGTGAAAATGGCCATGCTGCCAAAAATGATACACAATTCAATGCACTCCTGTCAAAATTCCAGTCAGTCTTTACTGAACAGAGAAAGCAATCCAAAACTTCATGTGGAACAACGAAAGCCAGCCGCGGCAGTGGGGCTCTACTCAGCCAGGCCCCTGGCACAGCTCCTCAGGGAGGTGCAGGCCAGACCCGCACTTCTGGTCCCAAGTCTTGACATCAAGCTTCTGGTTTGGAGATTTTTGTCTAGTTGTGAGGGTTTGTTTTGCTTTTGGTTTTTTGGGGTTTTTTTTTTTTTTTTTCCAGTTTTGGGGTTGAACTTAGTGCCTGGGCACTGTCCCTGAGCTCTTTTGCTCAAGGCTAGCACTCTACCATTTTGAGCCACAGCTATACTTCTGGTTTCCTGGTAGTTAATTGGAGATAAAGAGTTTCATGGACTTTCCTGACCCAGGCTGGCTTTGAACCTCGATCCTCAGATCTCAGCCTCCTGAGTAGCTAGGATGACAGGCGTGAGCCACCAGCGCCAGCTTGTTGGTTTGTTTTGTTTTGTGAATCCAGACCTGGGGTTTGAACTAGGGGCCTTGAGCTTTCACTTGGCTTTTTCTCTCAGGGATGGCACTCTTACCACGTGAGCCACACCCTTAGTCCCAGATTTTTGCTGGCTAATTGGAAATAAAATCTCAGAAACTTTCTTCCCTGGGTTAGCTTCGAGGGCTAGGATTACAGGTGTGAGCCACCAGCTCCCAGCTGTCCGATCACTTTTGTCTCTACACAGTGCCAGATGTGGACTGACCCTGCAGAAGCAGCCACATGAGCGCGTTTTGATCTGTCCTTTCACAGTGTAGTACTGATGTGAACCACAGGAAGAAGCCAGACGCTGAGGTGGGAGCTGGCAGCTGGCTGCTCAGGAGGCTGAGGCCCGAGGAGTGTAGCTCGAAGCCACCCAGGGCAGGAGACTCTGCGAGACTCTCACCTCCAGTAAACTACTCAAAAAGGCTAGAAATGGCACTAGAGCACTGCCTTGAACAAAGAAGCTTAGGGATAATGTCTAGACCCAGAGTTCAAACCCCAGGACCAGCAAAAAGGAAAGACAAGTTGTGCCCAGTGTCACCCGTTTGTCTTGTGGTATAGTAGGTCTCATCTCCCCCCTTCCCCACCACCCAGAGTGCCACGATGTGCTAACCTGAACACAGTGTGTTTATTTTCTCCACAGGCATCATCTCCCGGGGTGCACAGCTCCCTAGCCTGACACCCAATCACACACGTGTGGGGAAGGCCCTCAGGTACTGTCTCCACAAGATAATGCAAAGATCAAAACTTACCTTTGTGGGCTGGGAAGGTGGCTCAGTGGTAGAGCGCTTGCCTTGCATGCCAGAGGCCCTGGGTTCGATTCCTCAGCACCACATAAGCAAAAAGAAAAAAGCCGGAAGTGGCACTGTGGCTCAAGTGGTAGAGCGCTAGCCTTGAGCTGAAGAGCTGAGGGACAGCGCCCAGGCCCAGAGTTCAGGCCCCATGACCGGACCCAAAAAACAAAACTTGCCTTTGTTATTTAAGTTGGTATTTTGCCTTCTAAGTCTTAAGAAAGGTTATATCACTGGGTGCTGGTGGCCCATGCTATAATCCTAGCTACTCAGGAGGCTGAGATCTGAGGATCGTGGTTCAGAGCCATCCCAGGCAGGAAAGTCTGTGAGACTCTTAGCTCCAAAGAACCACCAGAAAACCAGAAGTGTCATTGTGGCCCAAGTGGTATAGTGCTCGCTTTGAGCTGAAGAGATCAGGGACAGCGCCCAGGCCCAGAGTTCAAGCCCCACAGCCGATAAATATATATATATATATATGTATATATATACACACACACACATATACATATATATGTATGTATATATGTGTATATATGTATATATACACACATATATATGCATATATATGTATGTATATATATTAAGGTATATATATATATACACACACACACATACACATATATATGTATGTATATATGTATATATGTGTGTATATATATACACACACATATATATGTATATATGTATATTAAGGTATATATGTATATATATACACACACATATATATGTATATATATATTAAGGTATATATGTATATATATATATTAAGGTATATATGTATATATATATACACACACACACAGACATATATACGTATATATGTATGTATATATATTAAGGTATATATGTATATATTAAGGTATATATGTATATATGTGTGTATATATATACACACACACATATATATGTATATATATTAAGGTATATATGTATATATGTGTATATATATATATTAAGGTTATATGTTCCACTTTAAATTTTGCTTGAAGCTATGACTTAGTCATGTATCCTGTTACCAGAAACTCCCAAGAACCACTACATGGTTGCCCAGTATTTCCTCAGGGGAGTAGGCCAGGCTAGTTTTAGGAGGTCAAGGCTAGAATGTTTTCTGAGAATGGTAGGAAATGAATATTGGCTCTTTGAGCTACTCAGCTCTGCTCTTGTATTAAGACAATGGTGGAAGGTGGTATGGACCAAGTCAGGCCTGCATGCATCCCCATGAAACGCTTCACAGACGCAGGCGACAGGCTGGAGGTGGCACTCCCACGCACCCCCTCCTGGCACAGGTGGGCACACGCTGGACATTGTGTACAGAGCTCTTTATCTGAGTACTGAGAGGTTGGACATTCACCCTGCCCTGTCAACACATTTCCTAGACAGTGGCTGTATTCAGGCCCCCTTTGCTGCTCCCCGTCTGGCCTGCCGGCCCCACTGTGAGGGGTGGTCTGTGCACACAGCCACCCGTGCCCTGGGGGCTCTGGGCCATCATGCCAGCTCCTATGACAGGAAGCCCCGCCCAGCCCTCCTCCTCAGCACCTCCTTGAGGGACTGGGGCCCCCCTTCTTTGGTGCCTATGGGCCCCAGGGGCTCACCTCTCCTTCTTTGGTTCACGCAGCCTGGGACTTGGCCCCTTCTTCCAGGGAGCCCACGCCCCTGCAGTTTTAGCTTTACCTCATTGGCTGCCTGCTCCCCAGTACCCATCTCCTATCCCCCTGGACCATGTGGGTGCCTGTGCGGGGTTCAGCGGAGGACTTGGCAGGCAGGTGTGTGCTGGCTGTACATAAAGCTGTCTGAATGCCAGCTTTGGTAGATAACAGCAGAGGCAGCTGCCTCCGAAGAGAAGAAGGTGGCTTCCTTCCCAAAGGCAGAGAGAGCAGACAGAAGCACGTGACCCACGTGCTTTCTGTGGAAGGGGCCAGAGCAGGCCAGGGTGGGCAACGCCACCCAGATGCGCCACCGCAGGAGTCGTGCCGGGCCCGCGCAGCTTCAATAGAGCTGTGAAAGCTATATGCACCACGGAGCTATTGTGGTCTCCAGGAATTAAATGCCCCGCAGGACCTGTGAGGCCCAGTCACTAGAACATCCAGGAAAAGCCCAGATAAGTGAGGACAGAAAAGCCAGGTGGTGACACGGCACTGAGGGGAGCCCGCAACCTGCGTCTGGTCACCTGACTTGGGGCTCATCACCACAGAGGCCATTGCCAAAGGTGAGGGATGCTAAGTGTTCCGAGTGTGGTGTAGAACCGGAGCAATGAGCTGCAGCTTGACATGAAGGAGCAGAACGGTGTGTCATGGGAAGGAGGTGCTGGACTCACAGAGTAGTCAGTGGTGCGGTGGGTTGCGGTGGAAGCGGGTGTGGTGCAGGGCAGGTCTGGCCACAGGGACCTGGTCCCTGCTCTCCACTCAGCTTCTTCCTGTGGACCTGCAAAGGAAGGACTCAGGGGCAGCTGCCATAGCCGCCTCACCATGGCCTTTCTTCCCAGAGTAGGCTGCTTTGGAGAGGTCGCGACCTGTGTGCCTGGTGGGGCGTGGAGGTGCGGGGGCACTGGGTCTCTGCCTGGAGCAGGCCTCCTCAGAGGAGCTGCCTGACAGGCACCATGCATGACACCGCTACCCATGACCACCAGCCCCAGAACCAATCAGGCCTCCCTCATCCTGGGAGCTCAGAATATGCTTCTGAGCCAGCAGACTGCTTTTTGTTGATTTGTTACAGGGTCCTGCCACAGCAGATGCCGATGACCTCCAGGAGGCCAGCGCCAGTATCGCAGGTGCCCGGCAGAGCTTTTCCAGGGGCCACACCCAGCCTGGGCAGCGCCTGGCCCCTGCCCCCCAGGCCTCCCATCAGCATCTCGGGCCTGCTGCAGAGGCAGTGCACAGGTAGGGGCTCCTAACTTCACGAACGCGGGGATGTTTGTGGGGCACACAGGGAACTTCCACTTCCTTAAGAAGTGTGTTCTGACCTCCCTCCACTAGGTTAGGAGTCCCATGACACCCTCTCACCTGCAGCATGGCCCTAAAGCTAGTTCACCAGTCAGGCTCTAAAAGAACCAACCTGACATTTGAACTTTTAAATCTAATAGCCTGGGCAGGAAAGTCCGTGAGACTCTTACCTCCAGTAAACCACCAGAAAACCAGAAGTAACATTGTGGCTCAAGTGGTAGAGCGCTCGCCTTGAGCTGAAGAGCTGAGGGACAGCACCCAGGTCCAGAGTTCAAGCCCCACAACCAACACAAAACAAAACAAAAACTAACGGCCACTTTCCCCAAACTCCTTTTCCTTGTTGGATAGTTGCACACTCATTTTCTTCAGCAGTGCAGAATTCATTTCAAAGTTCTTTTCATGACTCAATGGTTCCTGCAGGCTCTGCAGCCCCAGGGCCATTGGCGCACGGAAGATGAGCACCGTCCTGTCCTGTGCTGCCGATCTCTGCTCTTCAGTTGGTTCCTGCCTGTGCGCAGCTGTCTGCAAATGTGATGTACAACTCTGTTACGGAATAAAGTGGCATCCTGATGGTCTGGCCGCCTGTTGAGGAGCTGCCAGCTCGCCTCCTGACCCTGTAGGCCTCCCTAAGTGTGTTGCACAAGGTGCAGGAGAATCCGCCGGCCCCCAGGCCTGCGCTGCAGCTGTGAGGCCCAGGGCCTGCTGCACACATGCCCCGCGGTGTGGGGTGTGTGCACAGAGCACCCTCCGTCAGGTCACCTCCGTGCCTTCCCCGTGCAGCGTCATGGGAGCAGGGCGTGGCTCTCCTTGGAGGTGAGGTTTGGGGCACTGAGCCCTTGCTGGGTCAGGAAGCAAGCCTTGCTGGCAGAGATGCTCACAGTTTGTAGAGGAGCATGCCAGTTTCTCTGAGAGGGCTTGTGGGCCAACTCGGGGCAGGCAGGAGCACGCACCCCTCCCTGCGCACAGTCTAAGAAGCAGACAGCACACCCGACACCGCCGTCACACGGACCCTGGACCCCACCCTGGGCCTAAGTCACCACAGTGCCTGGGCTTCCGGGCAGGAGGTTCCCGCTGCCTTTCCTGAGAGGGGCCAAGCACAGCTGTCCCCACTGGGAACCCGCTTGGTCCCGGAAGCGTGTGTGAGTGTTCAGAAACCTGAAGTAATCCACACGTTCTAACATCCATAGTTAGGACCAGGTGTCCTTCCTCCTTCCTCACATGATGTGATTCACACATGATTGTTTAAACACTGAAATGCGGGCTAGGTGCGAAATACAGAGAACGGCACACGGCACTCTTCCCCAGGCTCCTGCTGGCCCTTCTCACGGCAGCGTGCTGTCCAGCAGCAGCAGCAGGCTCTGCAGACCTCCTGGGAGGGGAGAGACAGCCAAGAGACAGAGCCCGGTGCTCCTGACCGGCGTGCTGACTGCTGATGGCTGAAATGTTCCAGGAAACCTTTTCCCTCAGGCGAGATGACAGCCCCTCCACCCCACCCATGTGCTCTGCCCTGGGCCTCGGCTGCGCCCCCACCCGCCCCTCCACCCCTCCCCTGTGCTCTGCCCTGGGCCTTGGCTGCACCCCCCTACCACCCCTCCCCTGTGCTCTGCCCTGGGCCTCGGCTGCGCCCCCACCCGCCCCTCCACCCCTCCCCTGTGCTCTGCCCTGGGCCTCGGCTGCACCCCCACCCGCCCCCCCACCCCTCCCCTGTGCTCTGCCCTGGGCCTCAGCTGCACCCCCACCCGCCTCTCCACCCACCCCCCACCCTTCCACCACACCCATGTGCTCTGCCCTGGGCCTCGGCTGCACCCCCACCCGCCCCTCCACCCCTCCCCTGTGCTCTGCCCTGGGCCTTGGCTGCACCCCCACCCGCCCCCCCACCCCACCCCTGTGCTCTGCCCTGGGCCTCGGCTGCACCCCCACCCGCCCCCCCCACCCCACCCCTGTGCTCTGCCCTGGGCCTCGGCTGCACCCCCACCCACCCCCCCACCCACCCCTCCCCTGTGCTCTGCCCTGGGCCTCGGCTGCACCTCCCACCCGCCCCTCCACCCCTCCCCTGTGCTCTGCCCTGGGCCTCGGCTGCACCCCCCACCCTTCCACCCCTCCCCTGTGCTCTGCCCTGGGCCTCGGCTGCAGCCCCCCACCCGCCCCTCCACCCCTCCCCTGTGCTCTGCCCTGGGCCTCGGCTGCACCCCCACCCGCCCCCCACCCCTCCCCTGTGCTCTGCCCTGGGCCTCGGCTGCACCCCCACCCGCCCCCCCACCCCTCCCCTGTGCTCTGCCCTGGGCCTCGGCTGCACCCCCCACCCGCCTCTCCACCCACCCCCCACCCTTCCACCCCACCCCTGTGCTCTGCCCTGGGCCTCGGCTGCACCCCCACCCGCCCCCCCACCCACCCCCCACCCTTCCACCCCTCCCCTGTGCTCTGCCCTGGGCCTCGGCTGCGCCCCCCCCACCCGCCCCTCCACCCCTCCCCTGTGCTCTGCCCTGGGCCTCGGCTGCGCCCCCCCCACCCCTCCACCCCTCCCCTGTGCTCTGCCCTGGGCCTCGGCTGCAGCCCCCACCCCTCCACCCCTCCTCTGTGCTCTGCCCTGGGCCTCGGCTGCAGCCCCCCCACCCGCCCCCCCACCCCTCCCCTGTGCTCTGCCCTGGGCCTCGGCTGCACCCCCACCCGCCCCTCCACCCCTCCCCTGTGCTCTGCCCTGGGTCTTGGCTGCACCCCCACCCCTCCACCCCTCCCCTGTGCTCTGCCCTGGGCCTCGGCTGCAGCCCCCACCCCTCCACCCCTCCCCTGTGCTCTGCCCTGGGCCTCGGCTGCACCCCCACCCGCCCCTCCACCCCTCCCCTGTGCTCTGCCCTGGGCCTCGGCTGCACCCCCCTACCACCCGCCCCTCCACCCCTCCCCTGTGCTCTGCCCTGGGCCTCGGCTGCAGCCCCCCACCCGCCCCTCCCCTGTGCTCTGCCCTGGGCCTCGGCTGCACCCCCACCCGCCCCCCCACCCCTCCCCTGTGCTCTGCCCTGGGCCTCGGCTGCAGCCCCACCCGCCCCTCCACCCCTCCCCTGTGCTCTGCCCTGGGCCTCGGCTGCGCCCCCCCCACCCCTCCACCCCTCCTGTGCTCTGCCCTGGGCCTCGGCTGCAGCCCCCCACCCACCCCTCCCCTGTGCTCTGCCCTGGGCCTCGGCTGCAGCCCCCTACCACCCGCCATACATTTCAGATCTCAGTCACTTCAGATGGCATTCTAAATGCCAGATTTTTAACGTTTCTCTCTCTTCTTTCATAATTGAGTATGGTTGGCATTGAGTGAGCCCCGCGGCATTGAGGTTGGCATTGAGTGAGCCCAGCGGCATCTGGGGGAGCAAAGGTGTTTTTTCCTTTCATCTTGACTCATTAGCACTGTCATTGGCACGTCTGTCTTCCCGCTGGTCTTCACTGGGTAAAGGAAACTTAATGTAGTTGCACAGACGTGCTCAGTACGCAGGTGGCAGCCCTGCCAAGATTGAGCCCTGGCTTTTGCCAGTCACAGCTGGAAGCCCAGGCTCAGCCAAGGACCGCAGCACGGCTCTGCAGTCAGCAGGCAGAGTGTGGGTGGTACAGGACAAGGTGCAGGAGGTCAGGCCTAGCTGTGGATGGCATAGGCCCTGGAGAGGGGAGGCCTGGGGGCGTGGCACCCCGCCAGCCGGAGGCCTGCCGCACTATGGGGTGTGATCACATACGTGGCCACTAGGTGCCCACAGTGCTCAAGCTTGCGGTTAATTTCTTGCAATCACTGCGTAGCAGAGTGTGGAGGTCCCCTGTGCCTCCCTGCTGGCTGCGGTTGTACAAGTCCCTTCCCCTCCGTGCTGTCCCAACTCAGCAGCGGAGGGAGCAGAGCTGACAAGAGTGCTTCCTGTCCTCTGGGTTACTGCAGACCCGTCCCAAGGCCAGCGAAGAACCGGCGCTTCTATTGTAATGTTCTTCTTTTGCAATGCTTTTTTTTTGGAAGGGAAAAACTTTTTAACACTAATGCTAGTATTTGTAGGCAGGAAGTGTCTCCAACGCTATACAGGAATTAGAAGTACTAGAGAAGGAATTGGCCAGGAGACACTAGAACCTAAGTTTTATTTATTAATGGAGCCAAAATCAACAAGTTAATGGAATGTTCTTTGGTAAACTATTTCTTGTTGGAATTGGGCAAGGTTTGTATTTTTCAAAAGTGCCTGCATTGATGTTGTTCTATGCAAGTAGAATGTCCGAGTGACCATGTGAGAAAGTTTAATTGTGTATCTAGTTAACAAGCAGATAAAATCCTTCTAGATGAGCAGTGGAGTCTCAAAGCACGTTTTCATCCAGTTCACCACACAGGGCGCTCAGATCCCTGCAGCCTCTCTGCCCTGGCCCTGGTCCACTAGAGGGCACTAGACCAAGCCAGCTGAGCCTCCAGAGTCCCTGGGAGATTTATTTCACAGGAAAACAAACCATCTATTCAACACTGCTCTGGAAAAGCTTTAGGCAATTGAAGGAAATCACAAAGAGAAAACGGGACAATGAGGTAAGACACAGACACCCCCTGGGCACACAGCCAGCGCTTGGGCCTCACCCCTGACTGTCGCTGCCATTTATCAATACTCCAGCCACCAGACGTCCCTAAAAGTGCACTGGGCACTCGGGGAGAGAGCAGGCCTCAGGGGTAGCCGTGAGCCCAGATGCTCCGGGCCAGGCCGCCCGAGCAGCTGTGGGTGTGCATCCACTTGGGTCCCCTTTCCACGGGTCGACAGCCTCTCAAAGCAGAGCCTGAGGGTGGCGTACAAGCTGTGTGGGGGCTCATTGCCGCTGCTCAGGAAGCAGAGCCCGGAGTTTGAGTTTGAGGCCAGATAGGAAAGGCTGACAAGACCCGGTCTCAAAACAACAAAGGGGCTGGTGGCATGACTTTGAGTCCAGCGAGCCTGGGACTGTGGTTTCAAGTACACAAAAGAAAATCACAGGCAAAGCACACATAAAACAGACACCTGTAATCTTCTTAGGTGGTTTGGCACTGTGTTCAGCTTTTTGTGACATACAATTTGAATATACTATCAATAGCATTTGTATTTTGTACTTAAAATTAACACAAATACAACACAATCATTAGGTTCACCCTCTACCATCATGGTTTTTGTTTCTGGTTCTTATTACACGATAGCACCCACGTACAAGTCCAGAGACCTAGAGAGTGGGCATGAAGGAAGGGACATCTGACCCTCACAGGTGGTCTGCCACCACTGCTGTCCTCACGTGGGTAAACAGGGTCGCACTGTACTGCGACCACCCTGCTCAAAAGTGATGGGACTGTGAGCATGCCTACTGGACCCTGTCATCTGTGTGCCTGTGAGAGTTCAGCCTGGCCTCTCCTGAGCCTTCGTCCAGGCCCCAGCCCCCCCCCGGAGGCCGCCCTGGCCTCTCCTGAGCCTTCGTCCAGACCCCAGGCCCCCCCCCCCAGGCTGCCCTGGTCTCTCCTGAGCCTTCATCCAGGCCCCAGCTCCCCCCCCCCCCCCTGTGCCAGATGCCTGCAAACGTGCCAGAAGTGCCTAAGGATGACTCGCAGCCTGACTGCCGAAGTGCATGGTGCGACACCATGCAAGACAGGTGCCGTGACAGCGGGTGCCGTGACAGCGGGTGACTGACTGCGCGTGACAGCGGGTGACGTGACTGACTGCGCGTGACAGCGGGTGCCGTGACAGCGGGTGACTGACTGCGTGTGGCAGCGGGTGACGCGACTGACTGCGTGTGGCAGCGGGTGACGCGACTGACTGCGCGTGACAGCGGGTGACGTGACTGACTGCGCGTGACAGCGGGTGCCGTGACAGCGGGTGACTGACTGCGCGTGGCAGCGGGTGACTGCGCGTGACAGCAGGTGACTGCGCGTGACAGCGGGTGACGTGACTGCGCGTGGCAGCGGGTGACTGCGCGTGACAGCAGGTGACTGCACGTGGCAGCGGGTGACTGACTGCGCATGACAGCGGGTGACGCGACTGACTGCACGTGGCAGCGGGTGACGTGATTGCGCGTGACAGCGGGTGACTGACGGCGGGTGACAGCGGGTGACTGCGCATGACAGCGGGTGACTGCGCGTGACAGCGGGTGACTGACTGCGCGACAGCGGGTGACTGCGCGTGACAGCGGGTGACTGCGCGTGACAGCGGGTGACTGACTGCGCGTGACAGCGGGTGACTGACGGCGGGTGACAGCGGGTGACTGACTGCGCGTGACAGCGGGTGACTGCGCGTGACAGCGGGTGACTGACGGCGGGTGACAGCGGGTGACGTGACAGCGGGTGGCAGCGGGTGACGTGACAGCGGGTGACGTGACTGCGCGTGACAGCGGGTGACTGACGGCGGGTGACGTGACAGCGGGTGACAGCAGGTGACGGGACTGACTGCGCATGACAGCGGGTGACAGTACATGGGCTAAGGAGAAGAAA